AGTCTCCAGTATAGCCAAAATTTGACTTTCCACAAACTTGCCGTTTACCAACTAAAATTTAAAATCTTTGCATTTTATTCCTAAAAATATTATTTTGGTTTCTTACAAGGTCAGTTGCGTCTCCAACGCAGTTGATGAAGCACTGATATTGTTTAATTATTCAAGAAATTGGAAAATATTTGGCAAATTTTGAAACGCACTTTTATCTTGACACTAAAGGTAGTTGTATTTAGTAGCATGTCTATTTCACCTGGGTAAATTAAGTTGATTCGATTTTATTTTCCATTAATTTCTAATTTAACTTTGATTAACGTTGTTGATTTCCGAACACTCGTCCACCAGTGCCTGTTTGCCGCTCTTTGTCCCCGAATTGTACCTTGTCTGCTGACACGAAAATCAGCAAAATAAAAATTTTGTGTAAAATTCAACCTCGCATATGTAGCGAAATTTTGTTTCTCCATCAAAATCGGCGAGCGCCGGATATGTGGCGTTGGACAAAAAAACCGCCAGATAATTTTCACCTCGTCCAGCGTTGTCCGGCTGTCCAGGAAGCCACTTTGCTTCGGTTCGCAATAACCTTTTTGCTGTGCAATAACCAAAAACCGATTCGCAGCCCTCATCGGTGCCAGAGGTCCAGAATGTCTGATTGTCCACTTCTGAAAAATGAGGTTGAAAACTTCAAAAATAAAAATAAAAATCATATATCTAGTAAGGATCCTTGGATAGATCCTATTGATTGAATGGTTTTTTTATATAAATTTATATTTGTATGTTGATTATAATAAAAATTAGCTCTTGATATTTCCCTAATGCAAGCATCCTTCTCTTTTAAAAACTTTCGAAGGTGATTTAGCTGTCAATTATGTGTAATAAAAAAAATTCCAATAAAAATTAAAATTTTTACGCAAAATTAAAGGATAACAAGTACGGGAATAGAATTTTCTTTTATGGAAGTGTAAAAAAACTAATATGGCTAAAGTTCAAACCATTCCGTAATGTGGGAAAGATTCTCTTGAGCGCGTCGTATTTGAAGGTAGCGTCCAGACTCAGAAGTGACGCTCCAATTGCACAGCAAGCCTTCGTCGCTTCCACATACTGTAAAATTAATTGTAAAATTGGGTAAATAATAAAGTGAGTTGATAAATTACGCTTCTAGTATCATTCGGGAAACTGAAGATGTAGTATCGCATCTTATGAGAGGCCCAAACACCGTGTTTTTTGTAATCTGCTTAGAAAATTGAAAAAAAAAAATACCCTATAGTATTTTAAAATTTGTAACCGACCATTTAAAATCGTAGCATTGTTTGTTGTCATGGAATAAAATTGAGGCTACGAGGACATAAATTTTTGTTAACATGCAAATTTTTCCGCAATGAAAATTCACGAAAATTATACATTTCTGTCGCACGCCACGGTCGGGCAAAAAGGACTAGTGCACTTCGGAGGCTTCGTCGGGGAACCCTGATTTTATTTTCACTTCTATTAAAAAAGCACAAATTGAAGCAAATATAAAACCTGGCAGGCTAAAATGGTTTTTTCCGAGCAGTTTCTGTTGGTGAGGAAAAATGTGGCGTTCGTTTTGGAAATTCGCATTTGCAGGCAGTTCTTGCGCTTGTCCGAGTCATCGCGCAGGTCGACGCCCTGAGGCAAAGTCAGGGTGCCGTTCAAAGAGCACGAAACGAAGGTGTCGCCCTCCCTTACGCCACCCGTCCAATAATTTGAATTGAATTTCCACGTTATAACTGATATTGCATTTACAAAATCAAAATGACTTTTTAGAAAATTTTAAAACAAACTTTGCTGCTTCATGCACTCCAGTTTATCAATGCTTTCGAGGGAAAAGGGACTCATGTTTAGTGATGCGCATTTTGCTGAGTTTTCTTCCCACGTGCCCTGTTTTAATAATAAAAAATAAAATACATAAATTACAGTTTAATTTTTTAAACCACGTGATAAACCGAAGATTTCCCAAGGAGGAGATTTTGCCCACAGGCTTCAATCCAAAATCCGTGAATTTCAGGCGCTGTTGAAGAAAATATTTGAGTCATTAATTAAGAGTATTAATTTATTTTTCGGCTATTAAAATTACTCAAGATAGGATTGTTTCTTGTTGAATTCAAAATCACCTGTTTGAAGAGATAGAAATTAGTAGTCTTATTTATAAATCTTTAGAATTTCATTATTCCTCTTAATTTTAAAATATTTGTCATTCAGATCATTCAATTGAGTATTTTCTAAACTCTTGTGCTTTCTACACAATAAATATATTTTTAAGATAAATCATTTCTCTGAGAATTGATTTTTATGAAAATTATTTAACGAACTGTCATACATTCTCCGAATTGCACTTCGGAGGAGGAGAAGTTCCCTATATTATAAAAACAATTAATTTTAGTATTAAAAAATATAAAATAAAGAAGTTTTACAGCGGTTGAAGCTGTAGAAGAAGATGTGGTCGTTGAAGACGAAGACGAAGACACCAAGATTTTAGTCGACTGGTTTGCAGTGATCAAAGTGGTGAGGGTTGTTGTCTGAACCGTGGTGGTGATTGTATCAGCCATATTTGTTGTACCATAAGTGGAGGTAGACGGCAATTCGGCATAAGAAATCATTGACGCTGGAGTAGAGGGAGTTAAAGTTGATTGCACTAGTTTGATTGGTGCGGTGTCCAAGGACTGCGTGGGCGCCAATGTGGTTTCTTCCAAAAATACTTCATTGCTTCTTAGAGTAAATTTTGATTGCTGTACTTGTTTCGTAACCAAAATATTGGAAATCGTCTTTTTGTCAGAGTTCTTAGACTGTGAAGTTAAAATTTCAATAAAACGTATTTTCGCTTCAACGGTTGATGCAATTTTCTTCAAGCTGTCAGCAGTTGTTGTTTGCTTGTTGCTGATCAGGATTTTTTCTTTCAAAGTCGATTTCTCCTGTGTCAAAAGAACGGTCGTTTCTTCTGTCACAAACAAAACGGTCTTAACGGTCGACTCATCTTGGGGTGAAAAAGCGGTCATTTCTGAAGTTAAAATTTTGGATGTTTTTTGTGGCACAAACTTTGTGGTATTGTTTTTGGTCTGCTCAAAAATTCTTTACTTTTGTTGTTGTTCTGAAAAATTTATTTTCAACTCTCACCTTCGCCTTTGATATTTGGGATGCATTTGAGTTCAACAAACTGCACTTTGCAACTCCGCAGCACTTAATAATTTTCTGACGCTTCACACTCCTGGGCTTGCCTAAATTATTGGTGGCGAAATCTGTTTGAGGTTTTTTTAATGCAATTAAATAAACAAAATTTGCAACTAAAATAAGGACCTTGCAATTTTTCCCCCTGAATCGAGTTGTGATTTGAAGCAGTATATTGTGATTTTACTCGCTCAGCTGCGTACACGTAAATCAATGCAGAAATTACCAGAAATAATATAATCTTTTTCATATTTCAAAATTTCTGGTATTCAAATTTTGAGAAGAATCAACCATTCGCAGCTATGGTATAGCAATTTTGGTATTCGACACGCAAATATTTTAACACTCGTCGCAGTAGCAAGTTGTAATTATATATAATTGCTTCCTCTAGCGCTCGGGCGTTATCATTTGGCGAAATATGTTGAAAATTTGAATTAATTACACAGACTGGAGGAAGTTGAACGGAAGTAGAAAAAGCTGTCAGTTGGGAAAGTGGTACTTGGTTGAGGGTAGACATATTTTTCAGATGAGTCTGTGGTGACACACACTCGCGAAATATTGTCGAACAGAATAATAAATATTTGTATCAATTATTGTCTCTGCGAGTAAGGTTAGCCCATGGCCATAGCTTTTCATATAAAGGAAACTTAACTTCATTCCGAGCAAGCCTCGCGCGCGCGCTTTTCCAAATTTCCCGCCGACCTTTCCCTGATGGCGTGGACCCTTCAGCCAACCTGAGAAGACCGATCGGCGCGCGCCACCTCAGGGCCCAATCAGACCCACGGTCGAGCCTCGGAGCCGGCTCTCCGTGCCTGAAGCCTCAGACGAGCGACGCCCGAAACGCAGACAACACCCTGTCCTATCTTCAGCCCATTCGGTTAATGGCAACCACGTTTTACTAAATTCCTAATTGACCGGTAATTATCGCTTTCCTCCGTTTCCTCAGCTTAGTAAGATCAGACTAGCTTTTCCGAATCCTATTTGGCCATATTTTGTATTTTGTTCCTTTTATATTTAATAATAACTTTAACTTTAATTCTTAACTTTAATTAATTGCTTTTAATTAAGAACTCAAACCTAGTCACAACTAAAGTCATAATAAATTAAAGTAACTTTAGTCCAAGCCATTTAAGGAGTGCTTGGGCTATTTAATTAAAGGATTAAAGAGATATTAAGAGATAAGTTTGAAGTCACATGGGGGATGAAATGCACAAGGGGGCCAAGGGGGACACAAGAGAAGCCTATTAAATATCAAACTCCAGTCTGCAAATTAAGGCGGCGCTCGGCTCCAGCTCCGCTCTTCGTTAGTTTTAGGTGTTCATTGATTAATACTATTTAGCCCCTGTCGTGGTGACACGACAGATTTGGTGTCAGGGTGCGGGGTGATTTTTTTTCCAATTAATCACCTCCGGTACGGCCTCACATTCCTCGTCCACCAGCGGCGCAAACCAGAAAGGAACCTCAACGAACACAGGAAGGCCAGTGACCAACAAGCGTCCATAGAAAAGGCGTCCACCCAGCGGCGTTGGCTTCTGCAGGGCCAGCGCTTAGCGGATTCAGTGTCCAGCATCGAGACAAAACGAGACGATCATAGGCGAACGCTCACCTCTTCGAGATTGCGCCGCGACGTCATTCTCGGCGCTGCACGGTTTTAGAAGATGAGCTGTTACTGATAAGTACCCGACTTTTTACTTGGAAACTTTAATTCAAGCAAAAGTAAAGGCAGACTGTCATTGGGAAAGGGTAGCAGTCAAGTTAATATTAAGGGAAAGCTCTAAGGTGTGAGCATTTAATTACAAAACCTGTACAAAAGCTTGGATAAAAGGTGCCAATTTATTTTATTGTTGTGGCTATTTAAAATTTTATAAGGAATTGCACATTTTAATTTTGTATTATAATTGTATAAAAAAAAAATGCCATAAATTTTATGATTTTTCACCATTGTATATAAATGTACTCTGAAAACAAATGCAAAGCAAAACCTCCGCCATAAAACTGCACCCGAATGGCAATCGAAAAGTGACATCTTTACACAATTGTTATGAATCCCTCCCTTTTGCCAGTACTCCAGTTTTCAGCAGATGGGAGCATTTCATTGCTCAGGTGTACATCACTCACCGACAGCAGACCTCTCCAGCCTCTGCCCAGCCAGGACTGCAGATGTCTCGCTGCCAACAGCATCAGAATTTGCCGTCCACTCCGTGGCAGATAAAAGCCACCTTGCTCTGCGAGTTGTCCGACTCCACCTTCAGCTGGTCTGCAAGATGGGTCGACAAACGACCAGTCATGGCGCCCTCGACGGAACTTCAGCACTGACTAGGACTGACACAAGGCCAGTGACAGTCCAAGTTGGTCTCACCACTACTGCAAGAAATAATCAGTCAGCATGGTCGACAAAAGCAGACAAGAGCAACACACACCTGCGCAGCACAAGTACCACCGTCCACTGTCCGGACCACAAGACCCACTTCCAGTGGCAGCCCAAGCACAACATCCAGTTCCATCAGTGGACCAAGTTGGAAGCCAGCCGCTCCGCAAGAAGAAACACAAATAGCCCTCGGCAGGAGAAGAACCGACATCTTCGTCTTGCTCTGAAAAATTTTTTTTAATTAATTTAAATCAAATTGGGAAAATTGAAAAATTTAAAATTGAAAATATTATAACATGTTTAGATTTAAGTCCAACAGAAGAAAATGAAACAGAATGTTGATTAATTGAAATCGTAAATTAAAATGTGTTCTAAAATGTTTAAAAATGTGTGTCAAACCGAGCTGTTTTGTCCACGGGAAAATTTTTTTAAACTAAAATGAAACGAAAATTTTAATTGAAAAAATTGTTAAATAATCTAAAAACAAAATGTGCAGCCACAACAATGAAATAATTAATTTTCCTCCCATTAGTTAGAAAACATCATCGGGAAGTATTGTAAATGAATTATTTTTATGCTCGACATGCATGAAGAGAAATGTAATTATTTTAATTTTCTTACAATTAGTTTTAAATTACTTGCACTGGAATTGACTAAACTCACCACTATTATGTAACTGCTGTTGAAATTCCTCGCAAAATATCTCCGCAGCTTCGCAAGAATCGCACTGTGCCTGTGCACAGTTCTTCAAGACCGGGAAATCCGCTTGTTTTCGCACCATCATCATTCAAGTCCGCTCGCCAACCAAGACAAGTGCTACGAACAAAGATAATCCAATTTTCAAGCAAAACAACCGAAAATCTCACCTAAATCAGCAGCAAAAGCCCAAGTTGTTGACATTTGTGAAGTGAAAGTGCAAGTGACCTTCTCCATGCACCAGTCACGTGACTCCAAGCTCGAATCCCATTCGCCAGCCTGCAAAGTTCCAGCCAACCAGAAACGCGACTCTCGCAAGCTGAGAGACAACAACAGAACACAGCTGGCCACGTAAACAAACAAACGAGCATGGCCATCAGACACACCAAGTCCAGTGACTCCAGCCGAGGCCGTGGCCTCTGGCCGCCGCACAGCATAAGAACTTCTAAACAAGTCAACCAATCATTCCGAGCTCCAAAACGTGAAAGTGTAATGAAGTGTAAATTAAAATTAAATTCCAGTTGCAATCCAACCAAAATGTAAAATGAAAATGATTTCATGTTGTCACAGGAAACTTTTTGCAATTTGACAAGGTTCAAAGATTCACATGTAACGCTAAAATTAACAATTTACCGTAATCTAGAAATTAAAAAAAAAAATTCATCTCAAAATGTAAAAATTTACCAAAATCACAACAAATGACACCGCTCGAAACAAATAATAGGTTAGGATAATTCCAACTTGTTATTCATTTTGCCTGAATTCACAGTTGCCAAAAACACACCTGAACACCAATTCCAACACCTCTGAGAAGCCAAGCAGAGATGACCTATCTCTCACAAACACCAACTGCCTGCCTTGGCCCAGCGCAACCACGAGCAGTACGACACCAGAGGCGCCCTGCCAAGCCCCAAACCACCACACCGGACACCAAGCCACCACCAGTCTTCAGCTTGATGGACGCGAGGGCGCGTCCAAGTTGAAGGGGGGGCAGTCTGTGGTGACACACACTCGCGAAATATTGTCGAACAGAATAATAAATATTTGTATCAATTATTGTCTCTGCGAGTAAGGTTAGCCCATGGCCATAGCTTTTCATATAAAGGAAACTTAACTTCATTCCGAGCAAGCCTCGCGCGCGCGCTTTTCCAAATTTCCCGCCGACCTTTCCCTGATGGCGTGGACCCTTCAGCCAACCTGAGAAGACCGATCGGCGCGCGCCACCTCAGGGCCCAATCAGACCCACGGTCGAGCCTCGGAGCCGGCTCTCCGTGCCTGAAGCCTCAGACGAGCGACGCCCGAAACGCAGACAACACCCTGTCCTATCTTCAGCCCATTCGGTTAATGGCAACCACGTTTTACTAAATTCCTAATTGACCGGTAATTATCGCTTTCCTCCGTTTCCTCAGCTTAGTAAGATCAGACTAGCTTTTCCGAATCCTATTTGGCCATATTTTGTATTTTGTTCCTTTTATATTTAATAATAACTTTAACTTTAATTCTTAACTTTAATTAATTGCTTTTAATTAAGAACTCAAACCTAGTCACAACTAAAGTCATAATAAATTAAAGTAACTTTAGTCCAAGCCATTTAAGGAGTGCTTGGGCTATTTAATTAAAGGATTAAAGAGATATTAAGAGATAAGTTTGAAGTCACATGGGGGATGAAATGCACAAGGGGGCCAAGGGGGACACAAGAGAAGCCTATTAAATATCAAACTCCAGTCTGCAAATTAAGGCGGCGCTCGGCTCCAGCTCCGCTCTTCGTTAGTTTTAGGTGTTCATTGATTAATACTATTTAGCCCCTGTCGTGGTGACACGACAGAGTCTATTAAAAGTGATATTTATATATGGATTATTATAATCTTTAAATGGTGTTATAAATTTCTGAGAAATTTAATGGTGCTCAATTAAATGCACTAAACTACTCTACAAAAATTCAATAATATTAATAATAATAATAAAAAAAAAAACACTTGCAAAATATAGTTTTGACAAAACAATTTTAGTTAATGGCAAAATAATTTTGTGATTTGTGATAATAATACATATTTAAGAATATTATCGCTTTTGTGTTTTGTATATTGATTTAGAAAATATAAATCATTCTCTTTCCAATATTTATATATTTCAATTTAATTTTTCAAACTTGTTATTTGTGATATTAAAGTTATGTTTTTTCCACATAAAATTGTTTAGAAATATGTTATTTATTCAAAGACTACGGCAAGAGACCGACCCAATAGCCTAATAAGCTCACGGGTGCCATAAGCAAAAAAAAAAAAAAAAAAAAAATTTATTCAAAGTGCGGTGCTAGGCCAGTAAACTTGCTCAAATTGAAACTAATTAGTTTGAAATCATAACTATATATGTGACTTTAAGTTTATAAGTTAAAAATTAGTTTATTTCATAATATGCTCGTAACCTGCTTTTCATATGTGGCCTTACGAGTTCATGATCCAATGCGTACACCTAAATCAAAGCAGAATTTACTAGGAATAATTATATTATCTTGCGCATGTTTAAATAAAATTGTATTCCCGAGAGTGGAATATTATTCAAGCATTTTCCAGCCTTAATGCCAGTTGAAAAACTAGCTTGCAGAAATAAAAACATACAAAATACCTTAATTAAATATAATTATTGCTTCCTCTGTCGCTCTGCTACTCTGGTGTTGTAATTGGTCCAATGGTGTGGAAATTTTGAATTAATTGCAAATAATTCTAGAGGAAGAAGGATGTGATGGAGAGTAGCTACTATGGCTCTGGAAAGGGTTATTTGGACGACATTCGTGTCGAAATATTTTCAAAAACTTTGATAAAATAAAAATGAATATATTATACTGAAGACTGAAGTATTATCTTACAACTAATCCAATTTTGCCTCACGAATATATGAAAAATTAAGAACACTTAATTTTTGTTCAATTAAGTGAATTTTTCAAAAGAAATTTAATGTGGATTCAGAACTGAGCGAGAATTCCACTGCTGGGAAAACAAATTAATGTGTCAATTTTAATTTTTCAACTTTTATTTGATTTTTTTAGAACAGAAATCCTTATGTTTTGAAAAAAATGAAGATTTCTAAAGGAACAAATGATAATAGTTGTAAAAATAAAACCACGGTGTTGTTAGAAAATTTCAATTTCCTTTAATTTCATCTGACTTTTATTTTCTCCAGATAAGGTCTGAATCATTGTAGAACCAATAATATTTTTAATTAGTTTGATCCACATTTTTAACACTGGCTTTGAAATGCCACTTTTGCGTAGTCATTTCTTCTTCTTCTTCTTCTTCTTCTTCGGAGAAACAAAGACAATTTTAAAGTATACCTCCGCTCTGAAGTACAATGTTGTGTGTAACGAAGCACGAGACATCATTTTGCACGGATAGTAAAAACGGACTGAGATTTAGCTTGGAACTTGTTGCACCACATCAATAATCAACAATCAAATAAAGACTAGTACATTATTATGGCTCAAGAAGCATTTTATTAGGAATTTTGCTAAAAAGCATTCTATTTTTTATTTAATTTTTAATTGAATACAATTTCTGAATAAAAGTATTATTTGCTATGTCTAACAGAGACTCTATTTATTACACTCCCTACCTCAAATATAGCAAGGTTGTGTTCGTAGGAAAATATTTTAAAGAAAAGGGGTTAAGTCATCAGGCCTTTCTTTGTCTTCAGGTTGAATTTAAAAAAGTTTAGCAGCAAGTTTGCTTCTTGTGAGTGAAGAGATTCAAAGAGGTGCAGTTCTGAGAAATTTTTCCCTCCCGTTTTCACAAATCGAATCTACCCTGTGGTGCAGAAGTCCTTACAACAGTGGTCGTACTCAAGTTTCAAATTCTTAATCAACAGCCAGAGAGTGAAAATTTGGGCCGAGAGAATCGTCGCCTAGATAGCACTATTATTCGCAGTCTTTACCAGCTCTAAATATAATTTTAAACGGTGTATGTGTGTTTGTGAGATGGTCAAAAATAAATTTTACTTTCTCAAATTGCCAGCATTTTACAATATTCTTGCCCTTTCAATAAATTAATTTTACACAATTACAACAGTGTCGACAAAAATTTCAAAGATCATCACGATCAAACGCTTGCATATAAATAAAAAATGGCTACATTCCACTTTGCTCTAACAAATTAAAACACAACTAATGTAGTATGTTTTATTACATATAAAAAGTAGATAGATGTTACTCTGCTCTCGGAGTTTTTGTCTCTTTTGTGATACACAATCATCTTAACATGCGTCATGAATCTTAAATAATGAAATCTATATATTGCTTAATTCTCATTTTAAAAACTACTACTTCCTCTCCTCGGAGCCTGTCGACGAACAAGGTCTGGCCTCTCACCACGCGTCATTTCTTTTCAATACAATTATTATTTTACTCGTCTAAAAAATAATTATGTTAAGAGTTAAAAAAGAAATTAAGATACATTCTCCCCCCTCCGTTGCACTCCCTATATCATGTCTTAGTCTCCTTGTTTTTCTCTTATTGTTTAATGCTGCACTTTTGTGTGTGAGAGAGTGTGCTCGGCCGCCATGTGCGCTTACAGAGCCAGCCTCGTCAGCAGAAACATGCAGGCGGCACTCAGCGAACCAGCTACGGGCAGCGTCACGAGCCAAGCAAATATAATGTTTCTGCAAACAAAAAATTATTAATTTTTCTTTTTCGAGAATTTGAAAGAAAAGATAAAATCTTGACGTCTTAAGGATCAAATTGAAAGAAATTGAAAGAATGAAAAGTTACCTAAACAGTTTCCAGTCTACGCCCTTTTCTTCCGAGGACATCCAGCCGACAAACACGACCGAGCCCACCTTGCAGTGAGTTGTGCTGATTGGCAGGCCAATCTTCGAGGCCAGCAAAACGGTAAATGCAGCTCCGATTTCAATGGTGAAGCCCCTATAAATTTTTACCAAAAGTCAATGCTAACCCAAGAATTTGAATTTTAATCAATTTACGTGGAAGGAGTGATGGCGGCCAGGTCTTCGCCGATGGTCTGGATGACCCTCCTGCCCCAAATCCAGAGGCCGAGGGAGATGCCCACGCCTCCGTACAGCAGGATGGCCAAGGGCGTCTCGGCGTTTTGGTGCACTGAGCTGTCCTTGAAGATCATCCACAGGGCGACCAGAGGGCCGATGGCGTTACTGAAATTTTAGATTGTAGAACACAACTCAGGGTAAAAGAGAGGTTTGCAGGTACCTGACGTCATTGCCACCGTGGGCAAAGGAGCCGAAAGTTGCTGTCAGGATTTGAAGGAATGAAAAGAGACGACCAACCTCGGGAGGGTCGTGAACTTCGGCCTTGCCGTTCGCCAGGTTTCCGTTCGCAGCTTCAGGGTCCTGAAAGGTGGAAATCAAATGAAAATAAGAAATCTTTTTTTTAGCACCTGAAATTGGACAATTTTTGTCCAATACGCTATAGCGCATGCGTGATTTGCGCAGCCTGGAATCTGCGCATGCGCAGTGATCTTATTTGATTTTGAAGCTACCTGTATCGTCAGCACCCTCTCCCTGATTAAGGGCACTGCACTGCTGTTGGGTGAAAGACCATAGGCGGGGGTGACATTGCCCGAGTTGAGTCCTCCTTGCAGCTGCGCCACCGGAGCGTCGCCGTTTTCACCAATCTTGGTCACGACCTTGTCAGACATGATGAAGCCATTGGTGGCCTTGGAGTTTCCGTTGGCCTTGAGCTGGTTGGCGGCGCTCAGGGCGGTGATCTCGATGTTTTCAGTGATCACGCCCAGCTTGCCCATGTCCTCCACTGAGATGTTTTTGCTCTGCTGTGGGCTGTGGTCCCGAGACGACTCTGCCAGAGGTCAAATTTCAGCAAAGGTTTCAACAAAAGGCACAAAGGGAAGCAACGACGTGTTAGAGGTAAGCAAAGCAAAGACCGCCCCACTTCTTGATTAACTCAAATTACCTGCAGACTCGCCGAAGGTGAACTTGACCTGGCCCTCGCACTCTTTCGTCGTTGTTTCTGAAAGGGTCAAATTTTTATCCACTGCGCCAGGTGAAGCCATGCTCTAACAATAACGCTCCAAACACACTAGATTTTTTCTCCAAATAGGGCCAATTCAGTGAAAATGTCATGCGTATATTTATTTTCTTCCTTCTAAAGCAAACTAACAACCAGAAGCAGGCATATTTCTTTCCTATTATTTTACAGGGCAACACAGGTGTGTTTTGGAATTTATATGGTTGTGGAGCTTTTTGAACATTTCGCATGGCGTTTTGAACTTTTCAAATGAAGGTACTTACCAATTATGCTCTTGCGCAGGTAAGGTACCACGAAGCACTGCACAACAAGGGAAACGGCCACGCCAATGCTCAGGCTGGCCACAATCGAGCCCCAAAGTGGAATTTTGTCGAAGTGCAGAACTGTAAAAACAAAAAGAATTTAAAAAAAAGTGATTAAGTGCATATTTCAAGTTGATCCAGATAATTTAATTGATTAAAAAAAAATTATTTACTTTGGAAATTTTCAAGGACATAATTATAATTATTGTTTTCTTTAAAAATATAAAAAAATTGAAGTTTCCTCTTTAAGTTTGAAACTCACGCTTGGGCCCATCGTGGAAAATAGAGAAAACGTTGACAATGATGGTGACGCCGTAGATCAAGGGTAGTGCCCTGAGACCAGGTATTAAAGGTCTGGGCCGCCTGATGATGAAGTAGCGGATCAGCATGAAGAGGGCGGCGGACATCAGGCCGGACAACACCGGTGACACAAACCAGGAAGCAACTTAATTTAAATAAATTAGCATCAATCAATTCAAATTGGAAATTTATCAAGTACCGATGGTGAGCAGTTTGGACCAGGTGATGCCGCTAGGGCCGCGGGCCACCAGCGAGAAGCCGACCGTGGCGCCGACGATGCTGTGGGTGCCCGAGATGGGCAGCTTGTAGTACGTGGCCACAATCAACCAAACAGCACTGCCGGCTGGAAATAAATTGATTTTTATTAGAAAGGGATGACAAAAATTTTAATCTGGATCTTACTCAAGGCGGACAGGCAGCCCATCATCAGTTCCTTTTCGTGGCCTATGTACTCGTTTACGTCGAGTATCCCTTTCCGCATTGTATCCGACACCTTGTACCCTGCAACAATGATATAATAATTTAAAACGAGATATTAAAAAAATTGTAAAGTGTTTTCAGACGAAAAGAAGGTAAATCTGAATAAAATGCGTGGGATATTAAAATTACTATAATTAAAGTAGCTCAAATTTTCTAAAGCTTTTTAAAATAATTAATTTTAAAATGATAGATTTCATTTCTGCAGTTTTGACGAAAAATGCAACCTGCTGGACACTTATGTGAAGCAGGTTGCCTACATTTGTCTAGATCTACTCTTGCCTAATTTTTATCTCGACACGAAATTGTTCTCGTCTTTTTTTTTCGACGTCTGACAAACGTTATTCGATAATTTTTTCCCGTCGTGTGGTGAACCCGAGGCGACCTTCGCGCCGTCGGAACAATCTCTTATTTTATCTGCTCCGTTTGGAAAAAGGCGAGCGTGCGGCTGAAGCAGCAGTCAGCAGAATCGTGGCCGCGACCTTTGACCCTTTGGCTATCGAACCCGACCGTAGAGAGGATGCGCGTGATTTTTTCCGATTAAACAACAGAGTCAAAAGAAAAAAAAATTATATTCGGAGCCAGCCGAGAAAGAATGGAAGGTGTGTGATGTCGGAGGGACCAATGGCGACGGCGCCACCTTGAACTGTGGAGGCTGCAAAGTGCGCAATTTTCGCTTTATCGCGACTGGTACATTTTGCTCTCATGTCAGCCATAAATTGATTAAAATGATTCACGATGCAGCGTGCGTAAGACAAGATAATTAAAACAGAAATAAATTAAGACCAACAATTTTCTTTCTAATTATACAACCTCGTTCAAAGCCTTTCTTCAAAACTAGATAGAAAAAAAATGGGATGAGAATAAAATAAAACAAATTAATTTTAAATTAGTAACTTCTGACTTAACTAATTTAAGCCTATAAATATTTACAGGAACTCTATTAAATCGACTACTTTAGAATTGAATTCTTTACTTGTCAGTCAAATTGAATTTTTTTGCGTTTTGTAACCTGATATTGACTCATTTTGAATACAATTTTCTAAATTATTTATTCTAAAAGCATCCTTATTTGATTTAGCCTTAAAATTGCATAATTTGTACATAAAAACGAATTTAAAACTATAAAATATTCTTCGTTTATTTCAAATTAATACTGGAAAACTAATTTTTGTGGAACTTTACATTTTCATGTGGCGCGGATTTGCTTTTGGGTCAATTGATCAAGCGGAGGCTGCGTGCGCCGTGAAAAGTGCGACGCTGCATTGGCGGCGGCGGCAGCGTGGATCGATAAAAGGGCGCACAGAGAATTGGGCACGTCCAACAATTGCGTCATCCCGTCCACTTTTCGCAACATTGCGTAATCCGGCAGATAAAAAATGGGACAAAACGACGAACCGCGAAATTATGTAGTCAAGAGAACAAGAGAGAAAGAGAAACACGCGGCGGCGGCGATATTTATTTTTAGCGACGGCCGCGAGCACGTGGGTTTCGGATGGCTAGAAGGTCACGGGTGGCGGCGAGACACGTCAAGTTCTGGGAATCGACGCCTTTTAAAAGGAAAAGCCCAATTTAAAAAAAAATGTGATTATATATTGATTTTTTCAAATTTTTATAAGAAAAATCATAATTTTAGATTTATTTTATTTCTATTCAATTCAATTCATTTTATTTTTCTCCAAACAAGTCAAACAATCAATTGTTTGAAATTGAAATTTTTTTAATTCTACTGAAAAATAAAATAAAGATTTGATTTGAAGACAAATTTTCAGTGCGATTTTATGAATATTCAATCTTTTTTCACTACTTCAAAAGAATTAGGTTGTTAAAGAGGAAATAATACTAGTTTCAAATTTACACTCAAATTTAATAAATTCGTTTAATAGCAAGACGCTTCTAGATTTTAAGACCTTGACCCACTTTCAAAAGTTCATCGCCATTTTTTACCACCACAAATAATTTTTTTTTTTAACAGACAATTAGTTCTCAATTTTAAGAATCAAGTTAAATTGTATAAATATTTAGGGCAGATATCACGGTTAATGTGGGAAATTATTTGTACAAATATTATTTATTTTCACGTCTAGAAATTGATTACGTAATTATTTGCCTTTAACTGTTAATCATAAACTTTCACTGCAATGGCAACTGACAGGAAAAAATCATAGATGTTTTTCGTTTTAAAATTTCACCACTTTAAAAAAAAATTTATATTTTTTTCACATATCGATTTCAATAGATATTTAAATTATTTAACATAAAAAAAGGCGAAAAACTGTAGAATTTTGGTTATAATAATGAATTTAATTTTTTTGTACTTACCAATGAGCACCGAGCCTGCTATCTCGAAGATGGTGCCGAGGATGCAGGCCTGCCTGACGCTGAGCACTTTGGAACCGACCGAGGTGCCGAACGAATTGGCCACATCGTTGGCGCCGATGCCGAAGGCCAAAATGAACGCAACCACGAACCCCAGGATCAAAACCCACAGAGCGTCCGTCAACTCAACCATTTTAATTTAAAAAATATTAAAAAAAAAACACGGATCAAGGGAAAACTAAAGTTAAAGTAAAAAATAAGAAAGCAAAAGGCTTAATTCGCACGCTCACTCATCACGGTTGGTTTAACTAAAATTACGGGGAATATCACAGTCGGCATAATTATTCAGCAAAAAAATACTGCAACTCGGTTCGGACACAAAAGTGAATTCAGGGGCAGGCGAGCTCGGATTGTTTTTTTTACCTGTGGAAATAAACATAAAATTAGCGTTTTCGACTCACCGATGAGGGCGGCGCCGAGGATTTCAAATACTGTGGCGACAATGCAGGCGTTGCGCAGCGAGATGACCCCGGAGCCGACGGACGTGCCGAAGGTGTTGGCGACGTCGTTGGCGCCGGTGCCGAAGGCGAGGAAAAAGGCGACCAGGAAGCCGGCGACCAACACCCAGGCGACGTCCTTGCACCACTCCTGGCCGTCGGCCTCGGCGGCGCCGAGGGCCGGCGAGGCCATCAACACGAGCAGCAGCAGCAGCATTCGGAGGACGGGGTGGGTCAGTGGGTGGAATGGAGCAGGTGCGGCATGGCGGGCCTCGATTTATACGCCGAGTCGCGGCGGGTGCTAATTTTCGGCCCAATCGTCATGGTGCACCGACCGTCCGAACCATCGCGCTCCAACAACAACAACACGCCGCCGTCCTTTTATACGAGCCGCCCTCCCCTACCCCCTCCACTTGCTGATAAGCGCCGCGATCGATCGCCTCCTCACCAACCAACCCCTCGCTCGCTCGCCGCGGGTCCAGAACTTTTCCCGGCGTGCGCACCAAGACTTTGTCTCCTCTGTTCTGCACCCTGGGCTCAAAAACAACGACGTGTTGTCATTTCGCCGCAACCCCGGTAATTGAATGGCCTACTTTGCACCTCGGAAAGGAGAAACCAAAACAAAAAACTACGCATATCTTAAATGGCGTAGAAATATTTGCATGCGATTCTTACTTAGATGATGGTGATGATTTTATAAGAAAAACAAATTGAGTTTCAAGGAGAGGCGATATTTGCTCAATGCAATAACAATTGGGGATTTTACGTGAAAGAGCGAAACAGGTAAAATATAATTTTGACACACAAACAATTGAAATTTGAAGAAAAATATTTTGCTATTTTGTTCATTTATTGCAATAATTGACTTTACTGACATATCAATGCCCAAGTACATAATTTAGACAGTTAAAATCAAATAAAGTAATTATTTTACAACAGAAGATGATTTTTTTTATGAAGTGAAGGAATTTGTTTCAATATCTTTGACAAGAACGTCATTCAATAATCTTTTATTATAAAAAAAACGAAATGATTTTAGGAATTTCAGCGCTTAGTGTTTCTCCCCATTGGATTCAATTTTAAATAAAAATTTGAGCAATTTTATTACCTAAAATTTTTAAAATCACAATAAAATGTTAAAATTTGGCAAGTTTAATTTCATATATTGATTAACCGTCAGCAAGGGTAAGTGGTATTATATTTTAATTTAGAGATCAAGGACAGAATAATACAAAAAGAAAATCTAAAAATCATCAATCATCTTCGCAAATTGAGGATAAATTCGAATTGAATTTAAACGAACTGAGAATTCTACACTTCAATTTTAAAAATATAATACAGTGAATTTTTTGTCCCTATTGAACAAAATGGATAGTGAAACGACAGCAACGAGAATTATATTTGCGGACTCGCCGGCGTTAATCCCATGCATGAGGTGATAAAGAGAGGCATATAATTAACCTGGGATTAGCGGTGAGATGGAAAGTGCCGGTCAGCCATCAGAGATTAGTCGTCTATTCGAATGCAGCATCCGCTGGCCTTGGCGGATTGGCGAAGGACGAGGTCAAGGTCGTACCAAACCGAAAGCACGATTTGCATCCGAGACGAAACGGCGACGGCGGACATCGATCCGCCGAACCAAAAATTAGCGCGTCATTCGCCGAAGCGCAACACGAAAAAAGATCAACAGGAAAGCGCAGGAGGAAAAACATATTTGTCGCACCCACGCTTTGAAGCTTTCCAATTTTAAAAGTGAAATTAATGAGAGACATAAGGTGACGCAGTACTTGTTAATTTTAATACATCTGTTATCAATTGGGAAAATGAGGACAAATTTATGAACAACTTTATTGTAGACTATAATAAATATTATGGTTTGAAATTTGTTCAAAGTGATTATTTAAGACATTTAAGTGTAAAAATATTGTGAGATTTAGTTTAAAAAAATATCATAATTCAGGAAAAAACCACGTTAATACAATTAAAAAAGTTTGCAAATTTTCAATTATAATGTCACTTTGATCTTGAAAATGGACGTAGCGCTTTGACAAATTAACTGCAATCGAAGTCCCCTTCAGATCTTTCAACCAAGCAATCAAAGGAAGAACTTTCATGCAGATGCACCTTTTTGCTCAATCGTCGGGCGGGGGTGGCGCATGCAGAGAGGGCTATTGATCATTTGCCAATTGAGCGCCCGGCGCCTGCCTCTGCCCGATCGTGACCCATTTGGACCACAGCTGCTTTCGCGCATTGATCCAACCGGCGGCAATCACCGCTAAAATTGCAATTCGCCTTTAACGACAAACATTAGCTGCGAGTGCACCCACGGAGCTCACACGGCGCCACTTCCAACCAAGGACGTTTAGCAAAGAGCCGATTAAAAATCAAAGCTGTTGTTCCAATAAAGCGTTCTTCAAAATGTAATGGGGTGGCATGAACAAATCCTGAACATCTGATTGGAAATGATAATGAAATATATCTCGAAAATGGGCTTTTTTAATTTTTATAAAAATATTACCCACTAAATGCCACTAAAATCCTTTGCTAATTGTAAGAAGATTAAAATTATTATTATTTATTCAACACAGCTTGAATAAAAATTCCGCGTCAAACAAAATAAAGGAATGTTTCAAACCTATTCATTCAAACTTTGAGCCCAAATCTGCCTTTTTTTTATGATTTTAACAAAAAACTGAAGCATGTGATTATAATATAAAAAAAACGTACCAATGCCTCATATCAATTTCCTAAAAACCTCATAATCACAAAAAAAAAAAAAAATTCAATTTCGAGAGTGCTTGTTTTTGTTAGTAGATTTTTTTTTTTAATGGTTATTTTCATTCAATTCATGCACGAGTTTCACTCTTGATTTCAATCTCTTGTTGGTGTAGTTGGAGTAATTGAAGGTGCAAAGCAATCAAGTGACAGATTGAGAGCGAGATGCTGACGGCGGTTGACAAACAATCGCCGCGGCAGAGGAACAAACAGCGGCTTGTTGTTTTTCGGTTTGTCAGGTGCGCCAGCGAGAGATTCAATTGCGATCAACAAACAAGGAGGATGCAAGGCCGCGGCGGTGGACAAAAGCCTCAAACTGTCACAAGCAAAGTAATCAACCAGCATAACATTTGCTCGTGGCGAATTAAAAAGTTGCAAACGACGCAGAGAAGACTTTTCGCATCACTCGAAATTCAGATTTATTTCCAGCTGACGAGCTTGCACAAGCCAATTAATTCAACCAACGTCCCTGGACAAGAAGAAGTGTGGCGTTGCCAAAACCAATTTCACAAGAGGTGCAGCCTCGCGCCCAATCTGCATTGTCGCCGCAGCGATTTCTGAAAATTAATTTGATATACTCACACAGATTTAGCGGATAAGATGAGGGAAGGAAAAGAATGCGCCTGCGGTTGTTCGGTTGCTTAGTTGCTGCTGCTGGGGGGTGTGGAGGAGGAGGCGGGCCCTGGCGAGTTGCGTTGGGCGAACCTTCAGCCCTGGCTAGGACACCAGTTGTCGGTCCACGCGGGCGCAGCACCGTAATTGCACGCTATTACAGGCAGACATCTGCAAACAAAACAAGCAATTAGATTTGGAACCATTTATGATTTTTCTAATTATTTAAATTTAGCACTCAATTGTTTCCAACAAGATTTGAGCTTTCAAAATAATCACAGAAATTTAAATAATTTGCTTATTGTTAAAATATTTTCTTCTAAATTGACATTTCCAGTTAAATAGTATTTTCTCAGAATTTTTCCAGCTTTGTTTCTCCAAGAAACTAAAATACAAGAATAATTATGTCGAAATCATTTTTGTGTGTGAATTTTTGTTTAAATTTCAACTTACTTTAAAGTTGATTAAAAAATATGCAAGTTCTTTTGTCGAAACCCACTAATAATTAAAAAAGCTGCCACGATGTTTTCTAGTTTTTAGAAAAACTAGATGTTTTATTTAAGAATATGACATTCTGCTTTTGGACAATTGCCACAAAAAACCCTGAAAACCCTTTTGAAAACGATTAAAATATAATGAGGGCTCTTTTATTTTAATGTGATTTTTCCTAAATAGAATAGCCCCATAATTATTAATTTAACTATGAAAAACGGGAAAAACAGACTAAAAAAATAGGAAGTTCATTATTCTTGGCTTTCCTCTTCTTTATTTCACGGGAAGCCCTATTTGTGAGGAAAATCAATACATTTTTGTTTCCGTTTGAAAGACGCTTTTCTCCGGCGGAGAAAAGAAAGAAAAATTGGTTGTTGTGCGAGTCTGAATTGGAGTCTTGACGACCTGCTGCTGCCATACGCGCGCATGTGACACGCACCGTCATAAAAAATAACGCGTCCTCGAGACGTCAGCAGCGTAAATATTTAGACGGCGAGGAAATTGGAGCGGCAGCTACTGCGGACGCCCGGCAGACGCGTCTCTCTTTCCTTTTTATTTTCTTTTTGCCGCAAAAAAAGAGTGAAAAGCTTCTTTGTTTCGAAAATAGAGGAAAAATAAATGGCGCCTACCTTTCTATCAGAACTGACACCGGCCGACTACATCTGCGGCTAATGGATGGGCGCTTTTTAACAGATGCAGATAAGCCGCGGGACGCGACGCGGAGGGTGTGGTTTCAGATAATAAAAGACACAAAAAGAAGAACCGAGTGGATTTTATGCAAAAAAAAAGGGTGTCCGTCGCACGCAAGCGAGCGGACACACCTCCAGCCTGACGTTTTTCGCACCAACGAAATTCGCGACTCAGCCAAGGTCGAGACCTACAAGGAAACATTCCAAGTCTCTATAATTTTTTCGAATACCAATTTTATGCCGTTTGTTTTTTCCCTTTTGAGGACAATTATCAGAATTTTTGAAAAACTATAGAAGATATTTTAAAACTTTCAATCATTTTTGAAAAATTTTCATTTATACGCAAAAATTTCCTTTTGATGAAAAGTTTAACCTTAAACCTTAATATAGATTTAGTTTTTTAAGTCAAGGAATTAAACTACAAGATTTCATCAATTTCAGTTTGAATTATAAAACATGGATTTATTTTAAAGCCTCATACTTGGCGAAGAGACTTTCATTAAAGGAAAAAGTTTTATATGGGAGATAATAAAAGTTGCATCCGGTTTTAAGCGTTAACCCAATTTTGCAGCAGCACTCCAGAGTGTCACTTTAATTTTTCGTGTCGCGTCGCAGCGGGTGATCAAACTAACAGATTATCAGCGCGTTTTACGAAATTTCTGCTGCTAATTTTGCCTTTTTATAAATTAAAGCGACGCGCTGGCGAGACAGGCTACGAAATGGAACGCTGCAAACTGCGTCATACCGCTGCATTCTATAATCTGCCGTGAAATCTTCTACTTTTTCGTTTTACAACGTACCATTCTAAAGTACCTTTCAAGAGATTATGATAGTTGATTGATGACTTGTTTTGGAGAAAAATAAACTGAATTGAAGGATGAAAAGATTTTATCTTTTAAAAGTACTCCAAATTTTTTTTAGTGTCCGAGTGACTTTTTATAATAATTAGTGTAGATTATTGGCTCGTGTTGTTAAGTTTAAAGCAGTTTTGGTTGTACTTAAAAATAGTTCTAAAAAAACCTCTTAAAAACTGTTGAAAACTTAGAAATACCTTGAAAACATGAATTTCTAAATCTCTTATATAAGAAGTAAATAAAAACATTTGACGAATTTTAATTCTTAAAATTCTGCTGTTTTAAAATGCTGCATTTCATTGATTGATCGATTTTATTGGCTCGTAAATGTAAAAAACAGAATTTTGAAAGATAAAAATTAGGGATACATGGTTTTATTTTTAATTTCGGGGTCACGACGCACCTACCGAACAACAAGTGTTATTGATTTCATACTTTCCGCTGATTATCGCAGGCGCAAGCAAATAAAAACAAGTTACATAAATTAAGCGCGGCATTGCAAACAAAAACACGGATCATCGGAAAAATAGCCAATTAACGCCGATTAGCGCGGCAACACGCGTAGTCAATTATTTATTGGCCCCACTAGTAGCACCGGACGAAACAGCCTCGAACGGGTTCAAACAACTGCGGCCAACGAGCGAGTGAGTCATGCGCACAAATAATAATACACTTTCCTTGTGCGGGTCGCCACAACACGATTAATTAAACTGTTCGAATGTTAATCCACAAGTCGTGCTGCTTTCATTGTAGATTTGAAAGCATGGTTACAAATAACAACAATTAATAAATTTGATTGGAAAAAAATCAATGCGTTCTCTACAGTTTTCAATTAATGCTTTTTATATCACAATGATTTCAATAATACAATTGACATACAGATCAAGGAATTGAAACTTTTGGCAAAGCGTCTCAATAATAATAATAATAATAATAATAAGCAATACTTGAATCCCATTCACTAAAATTTTATTCTTCAAATAAATTCTTATCAAAACTTGTAAATATTAGTGGAAATTTTTGAAATTTCATAAATACAGCAAAATTCAAATTCAAATTTAAGTTCAGTAGAAGTTTTGCAAAAACCGTTAATCGGTTGTGAAAACTATTTCTTGGCGTCTAATTTGTTGCTGCTAGGCACGTGTGCGGTTGGGTCAATTAAACGCGCGAATTTCGCAGTAAAACGCCAAAAATTATTTATCATCCGCCAACAAACGGCGAAACTTGGCTTGAACTTTGGTCACTCACGGCGCGTGTAAATCGTCTGGCCGACGGCCAAAGGTGCACTTTGACTTTTTTTATATATATTCTCGCTCGTCGTCACTTAACTTTTCAAACTGCGCGGGGAGCGATTAGCCCTCCCTGCTGAATAGAACGGGGCGAAAAAGAAAGTAAGTCTTGCAATCAAAAGAGTACAATGTCGGCTAGGCAGACTTGCCAAATTTAATTGCAAACGAAACGGTTCGGCTTTTCTTTGGTTTGATCCGTAAAAATATCAAATGGAGTTTTGGTAAAATTCATTATTTAATAAAATAAATATCTAAGCAATGTTGAAATGCAAGAAAACTTTCTTCCACTGGAGCAGGGAATGCAGGAATTCGGTTTTGCACGCGGCCAAAGGCGATTACGCGAGAATTGGCGTCAGCAGCTTCAAGTGATGCTTCTAATTAAAAGTGACGAGTGTCAGTGGCGCGCGTAATTAGTATGGATGGTCTTTGCTGACGCGGTGCTGCGTTTCGTTTTTCCTCCCGCCGATTCGCTGTGCAAATAATTGGAGCACGCCGCGATCACACGCTCGATCAAATCGGACTTGCTGACAAAATTGATTTGAAAATAAATATCGAATAATTTATTTTTAATTTTTGATTCATCGCAAAATATTTCCTCTCTCATATTTCTTGCTTGATTTTTTGTTGGATTGATTTTCACAGATACAAAAATTAAATTGTAATATGAAAAGAATGCATTTTTTATTTGAACCCATTTCTTTGGGTGGAATTTCCTCGTTGAATTGCAGACCACGTGATGCTTAGTTGCAACGGAATCTCGATGCAAACAAGTCAAGTTTTTTTTCTCTATCTTCTCTCTTTCTTTCTTTGTTTCCTCCGTTGGGCTGCGGCGAACGAGGTGCGATAAAAAAGAGGCAGGGCGAGGGCATGTACACGCCGCCTTGTCATGACATGACCCGCGCGTGTGCTGGTGGAATTACATCGCGCCGCGATGACGTAATTGTCGATATATATGCTAATGTACATGTATCATATTTCGCTCACCGACCCTCCTGGAAACCCCGCCGAGTGCAAAATGTCCGCACCCAATTAAGAACATAAACAAATTTAAAAATATCATGTGTCAATTGTGAATGAAAATCAATTGCATTAAATCAAACAAATTGGGGAGAACAAAAAAAATTATATGAATTTAAAATAAAAGGGAATTTTTAAGGTTTCAAAAATTGCAAAATAATTGAAATTATTGCGCAATACTTAAACAATTTCCCAAGAAAATATTATTAGCAAACAGCGGTTTAGTCCATAAGTGACTGATACTACAGTGGTGCGTGATTCACCGAATTAGCACCGGCGCTCCATTGAGCTGATAAGGGGGTGGTTCTCCAGCGGACAGGCGGCGCCATCTGTGAATTGACCCGCGGAAAACGGCTTCTCGACTTTTCGCACACTCGCCCACACATGAAAGGCACCAAATTTATTTCAGGTCCCCCGTGGAGACACGCACGTGCCTCGCATGGATTGATTTTCCACTTTCATTCAAACGACAAGAATAGAATAAAAACGCTCAGGTTTGCGATAAGTGGGGGGAGATAAGACGGCAGCTTGCTTTTCGCGCCTTTTCCCTATCAGCATCAGCGGTTTATCGCACCAGGAAATTAGACCAAAGAAGAGTAAACTGCAAAACAGGAAAATCTGAGGATCGACCGAGTTAAGAAAAATTTGCTTAATCATGCGAAAATATAGATAACTTTTAAATTAAAAAAAGTAAAATTTTTTTATTAACTAATTTGGTAATTTGCTTTCCAGATTTGATCTTGCTCTGATCTTGCTAGAACTAGTTAACAAGAGCATTTTATGAAGATGCTAAGAAGTTCAAAACTATCATTATGATAATAATGATCCTTGGATTTTTTTTTAATATTGTGAAACATTTTACCATTTTTTTTATCTAAAAACCACTATTTTGATGCATTTTCTTTAGTTAATTGTTTATTTTAAAAATATACGATTATTATTAATAACTTTTTTTTCTTCGGTCAAATCATTTGTTGAAATAAAAATTTACCTAAATCGCAAAAATGAGTCACAAATTCATTCCCCAGCGCATTTCTGCAAAACTAAAAAAGTTTGATTTTTGTTTAGACAGAATTTCTCAATTTTGTGATGTTTGTTTGCAGGGTTTCCTGGAAGCGTCCGGCTATGATCAAGACGGCAGAAATTCGCCGAGTTGGCGCGAAAAAGTGCAGGTGTCCTCGAAGTGAACTCACGACTTTGCAATGTCGACGCGAAAATCAAATATTGACGACACAATCTCGTAATCGCCTTCTCGCAAAACCAACACTTTTCACAATCAAAAATGCAAAAAGTTATAAAAATACACCCCTAATTGAATAGCGACTGTACCTTGCACGACGAGGGTGTGGTTTTTGCAAAGGGCCACTCCATTCGGGCGACACATTTCAGGGCAGAAAGGTTGCGTCGGAGGAGAGAGCGCGCGCGAGTCGCTCGCGATTGACAGACTGCAAGAAGAGTCGCGGCGGCGGCGGCGAACGCAACATGTGGACGGAGGAGGGAGGGTGGGAGAAGCAGCCCCCGAGACTACTCGCGCCCAGAATAACTAACCCGCTTGGCAGCCCCCCGACCGACCGACCCACTTCGTTCCGCCCGATCATGTGATCGCCGCAAGCGTTTGACAGACAAATCAAACCATTTGTCACCTCAATCAACAAAAAAACAAACAAAAATAATAATAAAAAAACAACCTTTAATCCTGCAATCAAATTTAGAAGCTTCTAGAACTTTCAAATAAATATGAAAAAAGAAATAAATAAATTATGATTATTATGTAGCCTTGAAGTTCTTTGTAAAAAGAAAAACTAAAATTTATTCACACTTATATCATAATTATTTTCAAAAAATTACTATTTTGATTAATTTAAAATATTGTTTTTTGCAAAAAGTTTTACTTTTATTTTCACTCCCATATTGTTGTTTTTAAAATTATTATGAGTGTTGCATTAGTTTGAAAAATATCAAAAAATAAAAAAAAATAATTAAATATCAATTTCATAAGTTTTTTAATTTCCTTTATTTCTTTATTATTATTATTTTAATTTTCAAAGCTCTCCGCAACGGAAACTGAATGTTACTTGCGTTCTATTAAAAGAAATGTCTAATTGTTTTCACAAAACCCTAAACGCCATAGGAGTTCCTATAATAATGGATTTTCCACGATTTTTTTTTTAAATGCAATTGGTTTGATTTGTGCGTCACTTGTCTCGTTTCGGACGGAAGGAAATGGTTTCTGAGAAAGAGAGTCAGCGGCCGAAATTAGCCGGTGAAAAATGCACACCTTGCTCGTCGGCGCCGGACAGCCACTCTATGGCTGGCGGCGTTTCAACTGATGCGGTTCACTCTTTGCAGCAAATTTGGCACGTAATACGAATGCAACTATATACGCGACACCCACGCAAAAATATGCATAATTTGAACAAAAAATTAAAATAGTTTTATTTTAAATAAAATAGGCATAAATATATATTTTAATTTTATGTTTCATAAATTTTCCCAGAGTCAAATGTCTTTTGTATTTTTATAATTGATAGGATTATTTAAAATTTTCAATTGAAACTTTTAGTTTATTTATACTGACTAATAAAATTTCTTTCCAACGGCAACTCTTTTCCTGCAAATTCCAGCTGATTTTGATGAAACTATAAATTTGGGCCAAATTTGCACGCGCGTGGCTCGGAGCCAATTGCGAGCAGGTGTGTTTATTTGATTCAATCGCCGTTTTTCGCCAATTAAAATGAATTCCTTCCACAAATCTGCGTCCCGAAATAAAAGCAAAATCCCTTGGCGAGGCCTCCAGCAAAATTGGCAGTCACGGCCGCTCGTAATTCTCTTGGAAACCGGTCGTCCTCTCTTTCCTCATGACTTTTCTCCATTTTGGCGCGTGTGCGAATGAATGGCGTTTTTTCGGCCGCTGACGTAATCGCGGATTCCTTAAGTGGGCACATCACTTTGCTCCTCGCAAAAGAAAGAAAAAAAAGATGCACCGCGAACTTATTTCGGTTCAGGGCCGCCCTAATGACTTAATTGAACTCGGGATCCGCATAGGAAAAAAAGTAAAAACGAGTTTTTGTTTTGACTGCGGCCGTGTTTTCGTTAAATCGCCACTCAGCGTTGAAATAATGGGCATTAGCTCCCTGCAGACGTCCCACGCCTCCGATTGTTTTCAAACTCCTTAAAATTTAACAAATGACTTTGGCGCGCAGAAAAAAGAGAAAACGACGTGACGGAAGAAGACAAATAATTTTTCTGATTTCGTCGTACAATAAAATATTAAATTGCATTTGTACAAAAAAGTAGAAATATATTGAATAATTATTTACCTTCAATTAACTATTTACGTTTTGTAAAATTGTTATAAAAATCAATTGATAAAGATTTAAATAGTGAAAATCTCTGAATTATTCTCTATTTGATAGGTAGGAATAGACAAAATGCTATTTATATCAGTTTTAGAGCTTCTCTTCAAAATTTTTATTCTCAATTGTAAGAAAAATTAAACTTAAATGATGATGTATTAAAAAATTATATAAATAAATTGGCCAAAATCCCTAAAAACGCAGGAAAATTGGCGAGAAATGTATTTTTGGAAAAAAAATTGCCAAGGATTTTGACACTGTCCACAAACATGCAACTCTCTTCCCTTTTAAAATGAGGAAAAATTTACAACAGCTCATCTTTCCTTCAACATCTGTTTGCTCCGGATGACTCTAATTATCACAAATTTTTTTTGTTGGTTTAAAATTCGCAATTATTGCATCATTCAGTGTTGCCAAATTGAGTTGTGTGGGGAATTGGACCAGTTTAGCAACGATATGGTGTCGACGACCTCAGAGCCGCGAGTGCACCACTATAGCGAAACTTGTCCTTTTCCTTTCCTGCGTTTTTCTCGCGAGACGTAGCCTTGGGCAAGCAAGCTTATCTCTTAAGTGCTTCGCGCCAGAACAAAGAAAAGAAATTCTGTTGAGAGAGAAACAGAGACAAGAAGGAATTCCGTTTCAAACTGTGGAGTAAAAATAAATTTTACTAAAAAGCGCGTTTCCTGTTACAACTTGACTTTTTTAATAGGAAAAAAAATGAAACAAAACAGGAAATTGGGGAATCACGGTTTTAAGTTTTAACCTCAGTTAGGTCAGAGACTGTTTCAATAAAAATTGCGGCTTTCCTCAATTTAATTAAAAATTTCATTCAAAGCTGCAGCTCCACTTTAACTACTCAAATTTTGTTTGATGTTGTACAAAATAAATTGGGTCGAGCAAACAAATTGATTGTTTTGGCCCCACCGATATACTGAAATTAATTCAGCGGTGCTAATTTGCCGTCGGGAATAATTCAAAGATTTCAAATCCGACTTTGGCCAAGGTTGAATCCATCGCCCGCGTTTAATTTGCATTTGTTGACACGCGCACTTGACTTTTATCAATCGGACAAATTAACATGCGACCAATTCCCATTCATTTGCACGTCCTATTGGCCAATTGGTCTGCAAAACATCAAAATAAATATATTTAACACGCCGTCTGCAAAACTATAGTGGAGCAAATTTAATGCCTCCTGATTTGACGATTTCCAGAGGGGCTTTAAAATAAAAATTTTAAAAAGCTTTCTTACAAATTCAAGTGAAAATAAGAAAAATTAAAAAATTATGCAGGAAATTTAAAAATGACAAAAAAGAAATTACTCGTCAAATTTATTATTTTTAAGAGAAGAACTGGTCACTATATATTCCCACCCCTGCTGTACATATTTCTATTGGTTTTGACCTAAAAGTTCTGTTTTTCTTATAAACTAAAACCCTCAATGTGCAAAAATTTATCTCTCGCTATCGCACACGCGGCTTTGATCTTTTCAACTTTCACCTTTATTTCACAAAACCGGCGTTCTATTAAAATAACGTCTTATCAGCAAATTATGGATTAATCTGCGCTCTTCTATAAAGAAGCCAAAGCCGCTCCCCACCACTTTCGCCTCTGGTTTTTTTAAGCAGGCGCCAAATCGATCGGCGCAATTGGATCGATCAAATGAAATTTACTGAAAATTTCCTGTCAATATGATCAAATAAAAGCAACGTGAACAAGAGCAACCGGCTCGAGGCATAAAAAGCAAGGCGCCATTGTTCGGAGAAAAGATCCAAGGAAAACCCGTCCTTAGCCTCAAAATCTCTTTATGTAATTTCTCTACATATTTGTTTTTGTCCTCGCTGTGCTTCCTCAAGCTAGGGAAACATGAGGGAAGTTCGGGTCAAATTTCTTTCCCAAAAACATTAACTTTGAAAATTAAGGGCGGAAATAGACAGACGTGTCCGTTAAGGGTATTAAACGAGTTGGGTTTATTGATTTGCGGGAAACTGGAGGCGACCGAGAAACACGTGCGAGACATTTTGCGGCGACGATTGGCGCGCGCTTATTCGGCTTTGCGCCGAAATTTTTCAGCCTAAAGCGAGGGCGGCATCAGGACCTGCCGATCGGCAGCCGAACACAGCCGGTACATACCTTTGACGAAGGGTGGCTGAAGAAAAAAGATCTCTCCGGCGGACAGGTTAGCGACACAGGACACGGCCCTGCTGATTCCTTCACGCACACCCGGTTGCGAGCTCGATCCTCATTGGTCGACCCTGCCTATTTTTGCGACTGCTACTTCTCGCACACCCCGCACGATCGCAGCGCCACTGGAACCAAAACTCACCTGATTTGACCGATTTGACATTCCTAGCAATACACGAAGCAAGCCTAATTTCGGCATTTTCGGCTAAAACTTCGTCATGCAACGATTTACATACTGATAGATTGCAATCTCACGACTCTGAATTATAATTCCAGCTGATAATTTTCTCTAATTTCTTTGAAGAACCGGCCAAAGTGGGCTGTAAACATTCTGATTTCAAAATTCTGAAATGGAAGACGTTGACAAAATCATCATTCACTCCCTCCGTCAAGTCGGATGGTAATGCTTAATGTTCAACTAAAAATATGTAACATACATGATAAATATTAATTTAAAAATTATTTTTGTAAACCAAGTGAGCTGGACGAAGACATCCGCAGTATCGGCCAGTTCAGCACCGAATTGGTGGTGGAAGCAACGGCCCGGTGCCTCAAGAGCATCAACCCTGAGGTTGACGCACCCTTAAGTATGCCACCCTCGATGTCGGTCCGCTTCAGAATCGGAGCCACCCTTGCCCAAGCGTGTCAGGCATGTTAAAAAAGAGTTAATAAAAATACTAAATTTAATTAATTATTTTTTTTACACAGGATCTTGGATACAAGGGAGAGATTGGTTACCAAACATTCCTCTACTCGACAGAAGCAGATATTCGCAAAGTCTTCATGTTTCTTATGGAACTGCTGCCCAAAGAGTCTGAAAAACTGCCTGTTGTGCCTTTAGGTTTGTGATTTTTTTTTTCAAATACCTGATGAAGCTGAAATAATTAATTTTTTCCTAGATAAAAATTATCTGCAAAGGCAAAAGGTAGTCTATACTCTGAAGCAGCAGATCTCAAAACCGTGGCTGCCTGTTAAGTGCCGCCGGAAGGGGATAATTTCCACTCCCAGTGGCCCTTTCGTCGACCCACTGACCTTGACCTCAAGTCAGTTCTCGAGTGTCCCGTTGGACCCAGTTTGGCCCATCACTGGGCAGCTACCAGACATGAGACAGCTTATGCCTTCTCTCATTGTTCTCAACGAGAGTTGCCTGACTTCAGCAGAGGCACTAGTTCTGACCAGGGTCAAAGACTGGAACTCGGTCTTTACCCTTGAAAAACCTGCATTGCCCCCGAAACCCAAATTCGACAAAGTGGATGTGGCCATCAAGAAGGAGGTGGAAGAGAAACTTGAAGTATTTAAAAAGAAAATTAATAAATTGCTTATTTTAACGTCTGCTTTTAAAATTAATAGGAAGTGCCCTTAAAAAATGAAGAGATGATCATCGAAGAATTGCAGGAGGAAGTTTCTGAATTAATGGCACAGATCGAAAGTGCTCAGAGCGATTTAATTTTGAACAAGTCAAAAATATTAGAGGTAATTTAGAGATCATTGCATGTTACAATTAAATTTTATAAAATTTTATAGATCTCCAATCAATCAAAATCACTTGAGGAAGAAGTCAAGTGTAGAGATGAAAAGCTGATGAGGGAAAGGAAGGTTGCAAAACTTCTGCCTGAAGCTGAAGAAAATATGCAGAAGTTGGACGATTTAATAAAAGAGGAGGTCAAAAAGTTGCTCTCCCTGGCTTCAAAGTGGGACAAACATCGCGCGCCTTTGATCGAGCAGTATAGAGACCTGAGACAAAACTCCCATCATTTAGTAAGAGGACTCGAATTGTTTTATTTAATGAATTGATTGTTTTTACGCTTTATAGACGGAAGCTCAAATGCAGGCAGAAATAGCAAGAGGTGTCGAGGAGAAGTTGAAGGAGCTGGCCATTGAGGTAAAAGACAAGGAGCAACTGCAGGGTAGACTCAAAATCGAGTATGAAAAGATGAACAAAGACATTTCTAGGTATAAAAAAACTAAATAAAATTTGGTTTTTGTAAAACCTTGAGTTTATTGCAGATCATCGTACACTCGGAGAATTTTTGAAATTATCGGCAACATCAAGAAACAAAAAGAAGACATAGATAAAATTCTGGCGGACACTAGGATGGTCCAAAAAGACATAAACCAACTATCAGGTCGGCTGGACAGGTCATTTGCTGTCACTGACGAAATGATTTTTAAGGTACTTTCCAAAAATTTTTTACTTAAATTCCTGTATTAAAAAAAAAAAATAAGGATGCCAAGCGAGAAGAGACGTCAAGGAATGCCTACAAGTTGCTGGCCACGCTGCACAATGATTGTTCCAAAATTGTAAAATTTGTTGAAGAAACTGGATCGATTCTTAGGGAAATCAGAGATTTGGAGGATCAGGTTAATTATTGCATTAATTCCTCAGACTTCAAAATAATTTTGAAACTTTTAATGGTGTACAGATCGAGACTGAAACTTCAAAAAATATTTCCGCCAACTTGGAGAGGATTACGGCAGATTTGGTGCAAATGCGAAAGGAGAGCGCTGCTCTCTCTGCCCAATTGAAGTCATTTTCGTCGTAAAAACTTTGCCTAAAACTAAAAAGGCAGTTTCGTGATAATCAAGAAATTGAATCAGTTCAACGCATTTCTAATACATAAATTTTCTATTAGTTTAACTTTATCTATTTTTTTAATCTGATTTAACTATTGTGAGTTAATCAACACAAGCAAGAAAACACAAGAGCAGAGAGCACTTTATTGTGCATTTATAAGCAAATGAATGAAAGAGGAGCAGAGTCAATGACCTAAATGAAGTTCCCCCAGATGGCGCAGGGAGCCGGCCGTCTGGTGAACACATGATGAGACGACGAACCACAACAAAAAGATTTGCCCCTTCAACAAATTCAACAGGTCATTAAATTACTTCTTCGAAAAAAGAAAGCAGAACCAACCCCCTTTTCAGAATAGGAATATTATTAGAGGAAGGAAACTTTATAATTCCTCTGTATGCGTAGAAGGTAAATACATACAGTAGATTACTAGATACCACTTTTAGTTTTATCTTTATAATGTTGTTATTTGAAGAATGAGATGTTTTATTATTTTTCATTATGAAAGAGGCCGACATTCCTCGTAGGCAAACTGAACGGATTAGTCAACCGTGGTTTGATTCTGAATGCTACGAATTAAAACAGAAATTGAACGAATGGAGAGAGTGCTTGGAAGTGGCTGAAAGTTTAAATGTAACTAGTATAATCAAGATTCTATTACCGCACTATACCGCAATAAAAAGAAATTACAAAAATATGTGTGAAATGAAGAAGAACGCTTTTGTGCAAATGAAGGAGTTGGACATTTTAAAAGAGGCGGAGCAGAACAAGTGCTATAAAATTCTCAAGTTGAGCAAAAGTTTTTACAATACAAACAATATAATGATGGATGAATGGGAGTGCAATTTTGAAAAAATTTTCAACGAGAAAAAATTGAGTGAAAATGAATCGTTAAATCTGAAAGAGATGATAGTAGATTACAGAAATGATATAAATTTTTCACCTATTATGGAAGAAGAAGTTTTGTTAGCATTAAAGAAAATGAAAAACGGGAAATCCCCTGGACCTGACAAAGTGAAGAATGAAAATATTAAACTACTTGTTGAATCCTTACTCCCCGAAATAACGCAATTTTTCACCAAATGCTTGGAGCTAGGAACATGTCCAGAGGAATGGAGGCAGTCAAATCTAAAACTCTTGTATAAGGGAAAAGGGGACGCGGAAAATACAAATTCATATAGAGGAATATGTATTAGTTCGGCTTTTTACAATCTGTTAGATCGTGTACTGCATGCACGTATCTACTCATCTTTGATTCACGAGATTCCAGGCAATCAATATGGTTTTGTGAAAGGAAAATCCACTTTACAGGCAATTAAGTCCTTAGTTAATAACATTCAAGAGACAGTTTATAAGAAGAAATCACCCTTATATGCCTTATTTTTGGATGTAAGTAAAGCTTTTGACTCAATAGATAGGGCGTTTATTTTTAAGAAGTTAATAGAAAGCAAGAAGCTAACGTTCACGGAGTTAAATTATTTAGCTCACAACTTAGACTTAAATTTCTTGAGAATAGTAGATGGAGTAACAGTATCAAAACTTATTACACAATCAAATGGGGTAAGACAGGGGGGATGCACGTCCCCATTTCTGTTCAATTACTCTTTAGCTGATATAAATAATATTCTACGAGATTTGCCAAACGTGAAAGCCATTTATTATGCAGATGATATTGTTTTAACCTCAGAAAAATTAAGTGACTTGAAAATTGCTTTAGCCAGAATGAAAGAATTTTTGTTAAAACGCAGTTTGAAACTTAACTTGGAAAAGTGCAAATTCATGAAATTTAGAAATAAGGGTCTAGGAAAATATGCATTAAGTGACCGCCTAGATTTAGGTGGAATTGAAATAGAGAGAGTTGCTGAGTTTACATATTTAGGAGTTACTTTTCAACCATCAGGAATGTCTTTTGGAAAGCACATTGAAAAAAGAACAAGAGCTGCATTGCTGGCCACTTATAATATACGAGAACTAAAACAATTATCCATTGAAACAGCACACAAGCTATTTGATCTAAAAATTTCCCCAATTGCGTCCTACGGCATTGAAGAAATATGGCCTTTCCTAACAAAGACTGATTTTGAAAATCTTGAAAAAGTCAAAACAAGATATTTAAAAAGAGTTTTAGGACTGTCCAAGTATATTAGATCTAGATTTGTGTATGAATTAGTTGACACTGATCTCTTTGTATCGGACTTACAGGTAAAATATTCTCTAACTGAAACTGAAGCATTCCAGAAATTTTGTGTGTCTAAATATTTAAACAAACTTGAGATATGTGATGAGTTCTACGAGACAGAAACTATGAAGAATAAAAATTGGCAATGTGCAATGTTCAGTGATCGCCAAGTGTTTACGAGATTTGCCTGTCACGGGTACCACTATTTATTTTGTAAGAATAAAAATTTTCATTCTCAAGCGACAATAGATTGTGAATGCAAGCACTGCGGTAAGAAATGTTCACAATATCATATTCTTGAATGTAATGAACGTAAACTAAGCCTAAGAGAGGCTGCAAAAATCAAAATTAACTAATTTTGTACTTTGTAATAATTATCGAAACAAGCTTAATTGTAAAATTAATTTTAGGAAGACAAATTAGCTTTAGACACCCGTTGTACACCTAGTGTGTTCAATAAATACTCTATCTATCTATCTATCTATTATTTTTCATATATTATTAAGAGTAATTGCATTCAAGTTTGTCTTTTTTTGTTTATACAAATAGATGTGAACGTGGCAGCTGCAGCAGAGAAAAAATAAAATGGCTCGTCGCATTAAGAAGTAACGTCATCAGCAAATATTCTCAACGCCAGTCCTAAGCAAATTTCTTCGAATCTTGGGTCAGCCGTTGGTGAGCAATGAACACGCTGACCAGCTTTCTGGTGTGCAAACTGCAGCGGCGGCAGAATGCGGTGTTCTTTGTGGGTTTGTGCGCTGGGATCAGCCTTTGTCTCTTCCTGACGCCCATCCTCGAGGAGGCGCCATGTCCCTCTCCGGCCAACAAGCAGCAGCTCGGAGCCTCCAACCTGCACTTTTCGCAGGGTCGCTCCTTGCGCAGCCAGCAGGTTGTGCAGGGCAACAGTGAGGACTTTGAGCCGCGAATTAACCTGGCAGGAAAGCCCAAGAAGGCCCTCAAGGTGCCGCAGAACATTGTCCGGCCCAGGTACTACTCGTCCGAGTTGGGCCTAAGACAAAAGCTGTTTGTAGGAGTCATGACCACCACAAGTAGCATCAACACCAGGGGTGTGGCAATTAACAAGACAATGGCCCACTTGGTGGACAAGGTTATGTTCTTCAACAACGGCGTCAATCCGCCCAGAATCAATCTGACCGGCATCATTGGCTTCTCCGACTCGAGGAAGATCCTTAAGCCGTTCCATGTCCTCAAGTACATTGCAGACAACTATCTGGACAAGTTCGACTACTTCTTCCTGGTCAAGGACGAGAGCTACGTCAGGGCGTTCAACCTGACAGAGGCTGTCAAGAGGATCAGTGTCAGCGAGGACGTCCACATAGGAGGATTCATGCCAGACAAGGAAACTGCCTTCTGCTCTTTAGGTGAAATAACAAAACAAAAATAAGATATATTTATTCTGATAAAAAAATTATTTCAGACGGAGGAATTTTGCTCAGCAACTCTGTAATGCAGAAGGTTGTTGAGGGATTAGACTGGTGCGTTCGGAACGCTTTTTCAGACAACGACGATGACAATATAGGAAGGTGCATTGTGCACTCTTCAGGCCAGCCTTGCGCCTCTTCTTTACAAGTAGTTCCTGAAAAACCTTAACTGTCCAAAAAATAAGTAATTTTTTTTTCAAAAAGGGTCAAGTGTTTAGGAGTCAAAAAGTGGACAGTGGTTTTAACGCGGACACCGATCTAAAGCGCCTAAGAACTGACAGCCAAGTGATTTTCCCAGTGCCTGATGCAGCAACCTTTTACAAGTTGCACAAATACTTTTGTCAGGTATTTTCAATTATTATTTTATTTTTATTTATTTAATTGAAAAAATTTAATCAGATTGAACTTGTGGAGCTGGAGCGGTCGATTGCAAGTCTCCAGTCGTCCATCCTGGAAATGCACCCTGCAATAGGCGAAGTGGCAGACAACATAACGTGGCCTGTGGGCAGTCAGCCCACAAGTAAGCCGCAAAATCGCTTTGACGTTCTTCAGTGGGACTATTTCACTGAGCACCACGTCTACCCCGAGTCAGACTTCGGCAGTGTCAAAGACCTCTCAGGGGCGGACAGAGAGGACATGCGAGTAAAAACACAAAATTCAAATGATTTTCCTTTACTTAAGAGACGCATTGTAGCACATCTTGAATTCAAGCGTTTCTCACATGGCGCAAAAGTACGAAGGGAAATTACAGTACAAGCGCCTCGTAAATGGATACAGAAGGTACGACCCCTCCAGAGGGATGGACTACATTCTTGACCTTGCCTTCAGGGACATGGACACTGGTCTAGAAATTTTAAAAAGGTATGCGTCAAAACCTGCATTGTCAAAATTTCCACAAATCATTTTGATTTTAACTAGGGTTGAAATTTCCAAGCTCTTGGGCAAGGTGGAAGTTGTAACGATGCCTTATGTGACGGAGAATTCTCGAGTGCACCTGATTTTACCTGTGGAAGCAAACCAAATGGCAGACGCAACCCGTTTCATCAAAGAATATTCGGAGTTGTGCACCACCTCCAAAGTGGTAATTAATTTTTAGTTTTGTTTGGCTTATTCCTGACTTGATTCAATTTTTTTTTTTAAGATTTGCACTGAACGTAGGGACAAGTTGTTCCTTCTGCTGGTCTTGCTCTACGACCCTATGGCTCCCGGAAAGGGAGATAACAGAGACGTTTTTGGTGGGCTCAAGTCTCAGGTGCAGTCCATGGTGCAGCGCCAGGACGGCATGCTGATGGCCTGGTTGTCTGTGAAAAGTAAAGGCCAACGTCCCCCTGATGTGGCCATTGTTGACCTCGCCCTAAGGAAACTGCCGCAGGAGGCCATGGTCCTTGTCTGCTCTCCCACCATGAACCTGAGACAAGACTTCCTCAATAGAGTGAGTTGGAATAAATTAAGTTTATTATTTAAATTTTTAATTATATGTTACTCTCAGGTGAGAATGAACACCATCCTGCACAAGCAGATCTTCAGTCCAATTCCTTTTTCCGAGTATCACCCTGACATTGTCTATCAGGAGTCGGAGAGGCCCAAAGAACTGGATATTAACAAAAAGTACGGCCACTACGATTCAGCCAATTATCAGCATCTCTCATTTTACCTCAAAGATTATGTAGCTGGTAATAAATTTATCACTATTTTAATATCAATTTAATTACGAAACTACAAATTCCAGCAAGAAGTAAAGTGGATGACAAATTCCCTCTCGTGCGACAAGACCGTGATATTCCAATTACTGACAAGGACAGCCAACTGCCTAGCCTGCTGTCCCTCTTCTTGCAAGGGTCAGAAGGCCTTAACGTCCTACGGGCTGTGGAGCCTTGCCTTCGACTGTGGCACCCACAGCAGGTGTGTCAACCCTCCCTTGGGCCTAACCAGTACCTAGAGTGCCAGGTTTCCAGGGCCAAAGGTCTCGGCACCAGGGCTCAACTGGCTGGCATTATTCTGCAGTATTTGGAGGAGAAATCTCATTAACCATTGTATATTAGGAGAACATTATTTACAACTCAAATCTTTTTGACTGGACCTTTATGAAAAAGCCAAATTCTAGATCTTGCCAAACTAACAGCATGCCAAGCTAATTTTAAGTGCTATTGCAGCTTTTTGAGAACTCTAATGTGATCATGAATTATTTTGAAAATAAGAAGATGAAATGCTTTAAACTTTGCATTTTTTATTATTACAATTCTGCCGCAAAAGGCTGAAAAGATTTGTCAACAAAGACAAAACATACCTTCATCATCCGTACTAGATGCCTCTTAGCTCATATTATACAATAACAAAAGGTTAGATGAGATGCGATTGATTGAATCTTGATTAATTTATCTTGAAAGGCGACTGATTAGAGCCAATTCGTGATTGCTTCTACAATTGGCTTAAGCTCTGAAGCGAACCTAATACAAAAATATCCTCGACATCACCTGATTTTTCACAACAACAGCAATTAAGCCGGCAGTAACAAATACAAGTATAATTAGACATGAGAGAGAGGCCTTGGAATGGATGAGTAGCGTGATTAATCGCTGTCAGACCCAGACTCGGAGAGTTGGAGATCGTCGTTCAGTAGATGGTCAGGCATGGACAGGACAGGCGCAACGGCAGGTGAAGCTCGACCATTCGTGTGACCTGGAGTTTAATCAAAATTGTTACAAGTCCATCCATTTCAAATTTGAACTAATTTTTTTTTGCCTTTTTTTTGAAAATGTGAATTTTTAATGGGGATATGATGTTAATCTGTGGCTTCATGAATTAATTTGGTACCTACCATTGATCTGTTGAGTTTTTGGTCGTTGTGGTGGAGCCGTTTCGGGTTCGCTGTCACTGGAGGCACTGTCGCTACTGCTGTCACTTGACGTGTCCGACAGGGACAAGAGTCCAACCTCGTTTGCCTCCTGGATCACAAAACATTAAAATTCAGCAAAATTTTGGGATTTGAAAGGGTCACTGACCTCTGTAACAGGGAACTCGTCTGGCGGACCGTCATCGAGGCCAATGATTGGTAAGCTGGGGGAAGAGAGGGTGGCGGAGGCGGCGGCTCCTGCAACAGGGGTGGGCGCATTGGGGTAGTTGGGTGACGTCTGGGGGTTGGCAAGGGGACTGCGGCACGGCAGAGGGGGTGATGCGTGCAGCGGCGAGTGTCGCGGTACGCAGGGCGAGCAGTACGGTTTGGAAGAACCATACGGGGGCGTCGGTGCTGAAGAGTGGTGGGGAGACAGCTTGGACTGCGGCGACAGACGCTTCGACGGCGCCTCAGGCGTGTCCGAACGAGGCACTCCCAGCTTGGACGGCCCTTCGCACCTACAAATTCGAAATTCAAATAATGAAAAGTCTTGCAGTAACCTAAAATTGTAAGAGCAGCAATAAAATAATTTCAAGCATAATTACTGTTAAAGCTTATCTGTTATCAAAATACTTACTCCAGTTTTGCAAATCTTTCAATGGCTTTACATGTTAATGCATTTTAAAAGCGCAAGCAGTCAAAAATTTTTATCAATTCAGAGATCAAATCAAGAAGTTTGTAAAGTTTTAGGTGCATTTGATTATTAATTCTAACTTTGGCTACTTGCTTTCAAAAAACCTTTCAAAAATTCCAATTTTTAAGAAGGATCTAAGAAGGTGAATTTCAGGTGGATGCAAAAATTTGCGTCGATGCATATTGGTTTATTCACCTAGTCTTTTTGACTTGGATGTTGCTGTTGAGCCTCTCGAGGGTGATTTCGCCCGTGTTGTGGTCAATGATGAGGACGCACTCTTTCTGGTACGGCTTCTGATTGCCACGGAAGACCGTTTGTCCCACAGTGGCGCCCTCCACATTCGGCACAGTCACGGTAATGTTGTTGGTAGAGCCCACCTCGACCTTGGCCATCTTCTGCACATCCACACTTGCTGGCTTGAAGTCATCTGCAGAAATTTTTTTATTATTAAATTTAATTAGATTTCATATCGATTTTTGTTCACATTTAATGGAGTGGAAGGCAGCGCCTGAGTTGCCCTTGCTGTAGAAGGACTGTCCGATTTTGAGCTCGTGCTCCCTGTTGCCCAAGAACTGCAGCTTATTTTCCGCCATCCTGGGAATTGCAGGTCCGTTCTGAGGGGAAATTTTTGCAATTATTACAATTTATTACAATAGTGTTGGATGACGTGGGACTGGTCAAGACAAATGGACATATGGTGACAGAACAGGGTCTCCATTCAGTATTTAAAGATAAATATTGGATTCGTCTTCAAGTGCAACCGTTTAACAATTCTGACGAAGGTGTCCGAATCTGACGACACGTGTCCGACGGATGACCCCGATCTAGATGATCTGAATCTCACCTTTCAAATGTGAAAAGTAGCGGAGACTCGTGCCATTTGCAGACACGACTTTCTTTTTAAGGGCTCGAAAATGATGGGACGATTATTTCGGTCGGACGGTTCGGCCACGGGCTGTGCGCTCGGTCGGCGGCTCCAGCACTCGCATCCGTCTCTAATTCGGCTCTTACGTAAACTTAATCGACGTAATATCGCGAAGGTGATGCGAGCAGGGACCCTCGAGAGAAAGTTCCACTCGCAACAGCTGGCGATCGTCCATTAATTAACAAAAACACCACAAGAAGAAATGGCTTGAGTCGACCAATGAACGCAAAGGACGGTCGAAAACACACGACCCTATTGGCCAACACGGATCGGGTAACAAGTGTGTAAAAAGGCGCGATGATTAAAACCAAGGATTAAGATAGAGATAGAGTATTTATTGAACACAACTAGGTGTACAACGGGTGTCTAAAGCTAATTTGTCTTCCTAAAATTAATTTTACAATTAAGCTTGTTTCGATAATTATTACAAAGTACAAAATTAGTTAATTTTGATTTTTGCAGCCTCTCTTAGGCTTAGTTTTCGTTCATTACATTCAAGAATATGATATTGTGAACATTTCTTACCGCAGTGCTTGCATTCACAATCTATTGTCGCTTGAGAATGAAAATTTTTATTCTTACAAAATAAATAGTGGTACCCGTGACAGGCAAATCTCGTAAACACTTGGCGATCACTGAACATTGCACATTGCCAATTTTTATTCAAAACCAAGGATTAAAACTTTCTGATTCACAAAAATTTTTCCTTGTCTTATTTTTTTCAAAAATAACAGAAAAATAATTTATGATAAAGTAAATTTCACAGGAAATTTGTTAATCTAAAAATAAATAAAAATATTGCCATTTCGATCAACTATTCCTTTCATTGCCATAGATGATTATTCATCAATAATTTAATTTAACTTATGTGAAATGTGAACAAAATACAATTATTTAAATTAATACTAAATAACATTTATCACATTTCTGAGATAGATTTTGGATTGAATGTATCAAAAAATGGCATATATATGCCCAATTTTGTGTCTGAGTGCAAATTTAACTTTATTCCTTAAAATAAAAAATGAACGAAATGACGTGACTTTTAACAACAGTACGTAGAGGAAAATCTCAATAGTCTTTGTTGAGAAACAATTCTCTGGCTGTCCTTTGATTTAAATCAGTTTTCATTCATTTTCACTTTTGGCTGAGCTTGACAATGTCGTCAGGGTCCTCGGTGTCCAGGGGTTTGATTTCCTTCCCAAAGTGCATCTCGATATCCTTGAGGATGTGCATGTTGCGGCTGTCACAAAGGTTAATGGCCAGGCCCATTTTTCCAAAGCGGCCCGTCCTGCCGATTCGGTGCAAGTAAGTCTCGCAGTCGGCTCTGCGCTGCAGGTCGATAGGCAGGTCAAAGTTGACCACAATGGTCACAGCCTCAACGTCAATGCCTCTGGAGAGGACGTTGGTGGTGATGAGAACCTTCTCCGTGCCCTGGCGGAACCTGTCAAGGACGGAGATTCGCTGCTCCACAGTCAGCTCGCCACTCAACAAGGCCACCGAGTGGCCGTCTTTGGCCATCTTGGACGCCAGCCAGCCGGCGGTCTTTTTCGTGTGGCAGAAGATGATAGCCTGGCCAACGGTGATACCCCCATAGATGTTGGCAATTGCGTTGTACTTTGCCTCCTGGTCCGAACACAAGACGTAGTACTGCTTGATGTTGTCCAGAGACTCCTCTTCTCGTCTCAGTCTGATGATGATTGGGTCTGGCACAATCACCTCAGCAAACTCCATCACCTGAAATGTAGAATAGATTAAAGTTGAATCAATAATTTTGCTAAGAAAATTAGCACTATTTATTTCTTTTAACGCAAAATACAATAAATCAAATAATAAATCTCTAAACCCATGTAAAGTAATCAATTATAAAGCTGAGCTTAGGTCTTTTCTTAAGGAATTGATTGATGACAACAACAAAAGTGTACCTTAAGGTTTTTAATTTAAGTTATCAGAGAGAGCAAAAATTTTTGCGAATAGATCTGAGGAATATTTCCCTGATCTTGGATGATTTTTAAAATCCCTTACTGGAGTAAATTATTATACCTGCTGCTCATAAGTGGCAGAGAAGAACATAACCTGGCAGGTAGAGGGCAGATACTTGTGGATTCGGAAACTTTGATCTTGGTGGCCCTGAGTGGCAATCATGACATCGGCCTCGTCCAACACAAATACTCTGATTTTCGACAGGTCAAAGAACTTGTACTTGACGCCCCAGTCAAGGACCTTCCCCGGTGTCCCGATGATGATGTGGTCGGTGAGTCTGGTGCCCCTTGGACGGTCCTCCCCGCGCACCGCAAACACAATCTTCATTGCAGGCAGGAACTGCGCCATCTTGGTGGCCACCTCGCCGATCTGCAGGGCCAACTCGTAGGTGGGCGCCAGACAGAGCACCTGTGGATGGTTCTGGTTTAGGTCGACGCGGCTCAGCATGGCCAGGACGAAAGCTGCCGTCTTTCCGGTGCCCGACTGCGACTGGGCAATCATGTTGTGCGGCCTGCAATGTTTTTAATGAATAAAATTGTTTCAGTTTAAATAATGAAAACTGACGGGTCAGCGAGGAGCGTGGGCAGGGCCGTCTCCTGGATTTTTGAGGGGGCGTCGAAGCCCATGGCATAGAGGCCCTTCAGAAGCTCGGGCCGCAGCTTGAGTGCCTCGAACGACTTGACCGAGTAGAGCGGCGAGTTGGGGTCTTTGCGCTGCACTTCGATGTCGTACTTGGAAGTGATCAGACCCTTGCGAATCACCTTCTGCAGTAACGACACCTCCGCCGAGGAGATGGCTTCGTCCGGTTGGTTGTCCTCGGGCGAGTCACCGTCGCCGGTGTGGTGCTGGACGGAGGCCTCACCACCCTGCTCCACCTTGAGGTTTTTTAGCTCGGACGCCAGCATCTTCTGCTGCTCCTCGGCACATGCCGCCCAGTCAACCTTTCCGGCCATCGTTTTTCTGGGAAAAATCCTACGATGATCGAGCAGAGTCAGCAGAGAGCAGAAAATCGGAAATTTCAAGATCGGTGCAAAATAGATGCAACGAAATCGCTGGCCGGCAGGGTTTGTTTTCAATAATGCTTCACCAATCGACCGCTACGAGCGCCATGAGCGTTAGACAAAAATCGCAGCAAGGAGAATCGCAGGTTGCAGCAGCAGAAGTAGATATAGTAGAACTATGGAATACGAATAAGGGCGGGGCTTACGTACCAGCTCCCATTTGATTACAATTGTACATTGTACCAGTTTAACATTGTGGTTATGGGGGGGGGGGCTCCGCCTTTCTTCGTATCCCATGGTTCTACAATCTCTAAGCAGAAGAAAACAACCGGAGATAGGAAAAGAAACCAGAGTTACATACATAACATAGATTTTTGCCCAAATTTTGCGTGTTGCTAAGGTTGAAGACTTCATAATTTTGAAGGCGGATTTCCTGTTAATTGGTAAACATAAACAGCAAAATTTCAATTTTAGATAGAGTATTTATTGAACACAACTAGGTGTACAACGGGTGTCTAAAGCTAATTTGTCTTCCTAAAATTAATTTTACAATTAAGCTTGTTTCGATAATTATTACAAAGTACAAAATTAGTTAATTTTGATTTTTGCAGCCTCTCTTAGGCTTAGTTTTCGTTCATTACATTCAAGAATATGATATTGTGAACATTTCTTACCGCAGTGCTTGCATTCACAATCTATTGTCGCTTGAGAATGAAAATTTTTATTCTTACAAAATAAATAGTGGTACCCGTGACAGGCAAATCTCGTAAACACTTGGCGATCACTGAACATTGCACATTGCCAATTTTTATTCTTCATAGTTTCTGTCTCGTAGAACTCATCACATATCTCAAGTTTGTTTAAATATTTAGACACACAAAATTTCTGGAATGCTTCAGTTTCAGTTAGAGAATATTTTACCTGTAAGTCCGATACAAAGAGATCAGTGTCAACTAATTCATACACAAATCTAGATCTAATATACTTGGACAGTCCTAAAACTCTTTTTAAATATCTTGTTTTGACTTTTTCAAGATTTTCAAAATCAGTCTTTGTTAGGAAAGGCCATATTTCTTCAATGCCGTAGGACGCAATTGGGGAAATTTTTAGATCAAATAGCTTGTGTGCTGTTTCAATGGATAATTGTTTTAGTTCTCGTATATTATAAGTGGCCAGCAATGCAGCTCTTGTTCTTTTTTCAATGTGCTTTCCAAAAGAGATTCCTGATGGTTGAAAAGTAACTCCTAAATATGTAAACTCAGCAACTCTCTCTATTTCAATTCCACCTAAATCTAGGCGGTCACTTAATGCATATTTTCCTAGACCCTTATTTCTAAATTTCATGAATTTGCACTTTTCCAAGTTAAGTTTCAAACTGCGTTTTAACAAAAATTCTTTCATTCTGGCTAAAGCAATTTTCAAGTCACTTAATTTTTCTGAGGTTAAAACAATATCATCTGCATAATAAATGGCTTTCACGTTTGGCAAATCTCGTAGAATATTATTTATATCAGCTAAAGAGTAATTGAACAGAAATGGGGACGTGCATCCCCCCTGTCTTACCCCATTTGATTGTGTAATAAGTTTTGATACTGTTACTCCATCTACTATTCTCAAGAAATTTAAGTCTAAGTTGTGAGCTAAATAATTTAACTCCGTGAACGTTAGCTTCTTGCTTTCTATTAACTTCTTAAAAATAAACGCCCTATCTATTGAGTCAAAAGCTTTACTTACATCCAAAAATAAGGCATATAAGGGTGATTTCTTCTTATAAACTGTCTCTTGAATGTTATTAACTAAGGACTTAATTGCCTGTAAAGTGGATTTTCCTTTCACAAAACCATATTGATTGCCTGGAATCTCGTGAATCAAAGATGAGTAGATACGTGCATGCAGTACACGATCTAACAGATTGTAAAAAGCCGAACTAATACATATTCCTCTATATGAATTTGTATTTTCCGCGTCCCCTTTTCCCTTATACAAGAGTTTTAGATTTGACTGCCTCCATTCCTCTGGACATGTTCCTAGCTCCAAGCATTTGGTGAAAAATTGCGTTATTTCGGGGAGTAAGGATTCAACAAGTAGTTTAATATTTTCATTCTTCACTTTGTCAGGTCCAGGGGATTTCCCGTTTTTCATTTTCTTTAATGCTAACAAAACTTCTTCTTCCATAATAGGTGAAAAATTTATATCATTTCTGTAATCTACTATCATCTCTTTCAGATTTAAAGATTCATTTTCACTCAATTTTTTCTCGTTGAAAATTTTTTCAAAATTGCACTCCCATTCATCCATCATTATATTGTTTGTATTGTAAAAACTTTTGCTCAACTTGAGAATTTTATAGCACTTATTCTGCTCCGCCTCTTTTAAAATGTCCAACTCCTTCATTTGCACAAAAGCGTTCTTCTTCATTTCACACACATTTTTGTAATTTCTTTTTATTGCGGTATAGTGCGGTAATAGAATCTTGATTATACTAGTTACATTTAAACTTTCAGCCACTTCCAAGCACTCTCTCCATTCGTTCAATTTCTGTTTTAATTCGTAGCATTCAGAATCAAACCACGGTTGACTAATCCGTTCAGTTTGCCTACGAGGAATGTCGGCCTCTTTCATAATATTTATCATATTTTTATAAAACTCTTCAACGTCCCCCTTTTCCAGATTTGTTCTTAGAATATTTTTATATTTAGTCTCAATAAGCTCTTTAAGTATGTTTTCATCTAATTTAAAATTTTTCTTATTCAAAGACATGTCCCCATTTCTGTTCTTTTGTTTTGTGAAATTAAATTCTATTGAAATAAAATTATGTTTTCTTATGGTTGGGCAAATTTTAAAATTTTCGGTGTAAATTTTTGGCCCTTTGAAGATTAAATCAACCACACTATGACCATTACTACAGTCGTAGGTACTTTTATATGGATATTCATTTACTATTGTCAGACTGTTTTCCTCAGCAAAATCAAGCAGCGAGTCAATTTTTCTGTTTTTAGTATCCAGTCGGCAATTAAAGTCTCCAGCCAAAATGAAATTTTCAAAATTTTCAACATATTTAAGGATTGAGAGAAGTTCATTAGTCACTGTTGTAGAACGTATCTTCGGATTTAAATAGCATGTTACTACTGTAATGTCATCAAAATTTAGAATTATGAAGTTTTCCAAATATTTCACATTTAGTAAATTTCCTAACCTAGAATTAAAATACACGGAAATTCCCCTCATCGGTCGCCCTGCCTCCTTTTGTGAAGCTAAAACTTGCCTTGAATAAAAACCAGGAATGTGAAGTGGTTTCTTTAAAAATGTTTCCGTGAAAAGAAGAATATCATAATTTTGCAGTTCTGTTGCAATCGGAGATTCATATGCTTTCGTAAGCCCTTCACAATTCCAAAGCCCTAATTTTAAGTTACTCACGTCGCTGTTTCGACAAGGGAAATCTATAAAGAAAGTTTCTCACGAGCACCACAGTTGCGCTTGCTTCTCTCCCTGGGTGCAACAGTCTGCGAATTAGGGGCATCATTTAGCTGCTCTCCGTCATCCGGCTTCCCTCCAGTCTCTTCTTCTTCCTCTCCGGCCTCCTTTGGGTTGAACAAATTCCCACAGTTTCCCCAGCGTTTGGAGACATACTTGTTGTACAGATGAACAGTGACAGGGACATCTCGAAGTTCTTCGTACAGAGTGTCCAAGACCCAGAGGCGATGCAGCCTGTCCATGCCACTGAGTAGCGAATAAATAGGGGTTCTGGATAAAGTTTGCAACTGCGCAGGCGCGAAATTATCGATTAATTATAATTAATTAAATTAAAATTATATTGATTAAATGGAAATTGCATTGATTAAATGGAAATTACATTGATTAAATGGAAATTGCATTGATTAAATGGAAATTGCATTGATTAAATGGAAATTGCATTGATTCAATGGAAATTGCATTAATGAAATGAAAATTACATTGATTAAATTAAAATTACATTGATCAAATTGAAATTATATAGATTAAATGGTTAAATTATATTGATTAAAATGAAAATACGTTATGAGTACTGATGAGTGTAATTTGTTAAATAAAAATACATATTTACGATTAATTTTTTTTTATTGAAAATTCAGCTTATGTACACAACTAACTCCTTACTGAAGAAGGAATGAGAATGTTTTAGTATTTTATTCCAAACCTGCGTTTCAACACGCATGCTAACATGCGCAATACAAAAAATCAATAACTTGCTTGAAAATATACATTACTGAAAATGATGAAATTATATTGAAATGAAAATTATTAAAAAAAAAACGTTAATTAACCAAAAACATGAGTCATAATCATTTTTTTGTTTTTATTAGAATTAAAATACATGGTATTTTTTCAAAATATTTTTTTATTGCACGCAAATCATCTCAAAGCATAATGACCATATGGCAGTGTACATATTCCATCATCCAAAATTTTTCTTTTGTCATCGGAGGAATCCAAAGCCAATTTTTGGATTTTCATCGTGTACAATTCATGATCCTTAGAGTTAATATTGTAAAAACTAGAATATTTCCTCGCATTGTTCAAAACACAATTGACATAGTCTTCATGAGTAAGTTTACAAATAGCCGAACGTTTCACGCCTTTGGCTTTTTTTACCTCCTCATCGTTACACACAAATGAATACATTTTGCTACGAGGAGCTGCAAATTGCTTAATGGCAACGCCTTTTGTTTCATCCTTAAAGCTACCATACACACATGCATTATCAGTCGAGTACAATGGGTGTGAAGGAGGGAGAGAGCTAAAATCAAAGTATTGTGAGATCGATTTCATTTCCTGATAAAAATTATCCGATTTTATAGAGACAATATATGCGTCAGTATCCATAAGACAGAGAGTTAGTCTTGAACCAAATTTTTTCTTCAAAACGTCGTAGAAAAACCAGTACATGTAATATTTACTCCAAAATAAAATATTCTGCCCCACAATAATCGGCCTATCCAAGACAATTTTACCTCTATGCATTTCCACAATTGCCATTCCTTCGGATAAGATAATTCGATCAATGAATGTAGGTTTTTTTACGAGTTTTTGCAAAGCCCGATCGCTGGAAACGAGCTTGATCAATTTCCTTTTTTTAAGGTCCTCAATCATTTTTCCAAAGGTGCTATTGCAAATTAATTTCCACAGATTTTTTTCACTGGTGCAAGTTGCGTCAGATCGAAATTTTTGTAATATTTCAACATAAGGACGCATGTAATTCTTTTGACTAAATTCCAAAACCCTATGAATTTTATCTATCGACACCCCCAAGGCAGAAGCTTGCTGGAGCATAGCCAATGATGTAATGTACTTCTTTTTGGGTTCAAAGTCCAAAATCAATTTTTCAAACAATGCGTTAGGGGGACATTTTTTTATCGGGAAGGGGGGTAGGCAGCTCAAACGCTGATGAACGTTATCATTGAAAGAGCAATCTATTTCTAAAACATAACCCTTTTCACCCAATGGATTGATATTTTTCCAATCAAATCCCTCTGGCGAAATGAATTTGTAGTTTGCATAGGGTAGAGGAAAAGTAAGCATTATGAACGAGTACAACGCCGTACAGTCTGTATAGAAAATACGGCAAGTTTCACTTGCTGTTTCAAATCTTTTGTTTACAACACTAATACCTCCCATTATTGAAGAGTCGACAAAATCGTATATTTCACTTTCAGTCAAAAGTTCTATTTCTATACCCGTATGTTTTAGCATCAAATTAACAGAGAGCTGACTAATGGTCAAAAAGTGACAGAGATCTATTTTGAATTTATTAAATATCAACTCTCTGTAGAACAAAAGCACGTCCAAAGCACACAACACATCACGTTTTTGATAAACGTCCACAAAATCCTTAAACGTACGACATTTAAATATTCTCCATATTGTTTTTGCCCTTTCATAAGCCTCGTCGCTAATTGCTGTATCGCTTAAATCATTGTAAAAAAATGACTTTTCTGGCAGTGAGCTAGCGTTCAACCTTTCAGGTCCGGTCAAAAATTGATAGGGGAATTCCCCTTTTTTGCACACGTAATCGTGAACAGAGGGGTCAAAATATAATTTTGTCTGATGAAATTTGTCAAAAGGAAGGACTGCAGCGAGCGAATCTAACGACTCTGGGAAAAATCTGTACAGATCGAGAAATCTAAATTCAATTTTATTGATTCTAATTGAAAAACTAATATATTTTTCACTGGTGCAAGGTATAACGTTTATGTTGAATTTGTGAGAAAGGAAAAGCTTTACCAGGTAATGCCCGTCATAATTCGAGAGATTCATTATGAAAATAGGTACAAATTTAACCTTTTTCATGTTCAGATTGCAGGGACTTGAGCAAGCAGCTCCTCTGTAATTATTTCGGTCCGAAATCAAATGATCATGATCACGTACTTTTACATTGTTCTCGGTAAATTGTTTTGAACAAACGTAGCATTTATCAGCCGCCTGAAAACCTTCTTCGTCTGCGGCTGACATTTGAATTGGACAGTCTCGCGAAAATATCTTTGCAATTTCCTGCGAAACGGAATCTAGATAATTAATAATTTCAACTCCGAGTCGTTTTCCATCGGTTATTTTTGAATGATAACCTAATGGAACATTTGAAACTTGAGATTGATCGTAGATGGAATGCAACGCGGCGCCAAATGAAAACGGCTCGTGGATTTGTACAATTTCAGAGTAGCTTTTAGAAGGATCGCGCATGCATGAATCGACAGGCACAAGAAAACTTTCTAGGTCCATTGATATGAGAAAAGGGACAGGCAGAGCAGCACCATGTTTTTCAAATTTGTATACCGAACCAGGTTTTGGAAGGGAGAGATGTGTAAGTTTGCCTTTGCTGCATCTAATTTCATGATCGTTTAATTTTTCAACTGAATGAAAATGTAAAAGGCAGCGTGTGCATATTTCTTTTTTTACCTTTATTTTTGATAACGAAGATCCAATCAGACGGGACAAATCGTTGATTAAACAATAATGAGCTTTTCCTCGCGAGCAAATGTAAAGAAGGTTATAGTGTTCTTTACATTTTTTTCGTGGAACAAACATTGGAAAAATGTTATTCTTTTCATCCAGAGAAAAAACATTGATCGATAATTGAGGGTTATCCTTCATAAACTGCTTGATTTCGGGAATTCCAACTGGAAAAGTGATATTCCACGTAAACTTTTTCATATATTTTTTCTCGATTCTAGGTTGAACTGAACTACCAGGTCTTTTCGCCTTGGCTGCTACAATGCAATGCAAGAAACATTTATTGCAATTTTCCTCACTGCATTTCAAATTTGTTACTGCTTTTTTATCAGAAATGCATTTGGGAAGGGAAATGAAACAGGAACCGGGGATGAATCTATATTTTGAAACCCTAACTTCCAAGCATTTGACCGCCCTGAAGGTAAATCCACTGCCCATGAACGAATAAGTTTCAGCCTCTTTCAAAATTTTTTTGTACTGTGTGGCAATAAAATCGGAAATATCATTTTGATCTAATATCATTGAATTAAATGTTTTGAAATTAGCGTCTTTAGTGACGTCATAAGGACCACTGAATAAGCAAACTAAAAACATGTTTGACTTGATTGTCTTTTTTTCCAAAAGTTCTTTTTTGAGCAATTTTGTTACTTTTTCTTCTTGCGATTTTAAATATTCTTCTATGCCTCCAACTTTTTCGTAATTTGGAAGGATGTAATCAACATAATTGTTATGAAACAAAGACTTGCCAATCAAAATTCCGTCTTCATTGGTATAATTGAGATTCTTTCTACGCAAATAAATCTCTTGGCTGGGAATGTCACTCGGAGGAAACGGAGTCGCCCGAGGAGAATCTTGGTCGTTTTCGTTGACGCTCATCATGATTCACATGAGCCTGAATCTGCAGTAAAAGAGAGTGTTGCTCTGCAGTAGTCAATGTTTCACGCAGACACGTGAGGAGCGAGTGAACGTTATGTCTGGAGGGACCTGCTCGATCTGTGACAACTTGCTCAGAAATTGAGTTCATATGAGCATCGTCAAGAGTGGCGTATTGCGTAAACGCCACGCGCGCAGGTCGAGTGGAGGGGGTGTGAAATGCAGTGTCAGGGACAATGGCATTCGTGTCCAGATCGATAAGCATCGAATTCTGGACAGTGTAGTTGATGACATTAGCCACAGGTACAGCTTGAGGACCTTGAGGACCAACAAAAAGCGTGAGAAAGTTTTCATCCAGGACCTGACCCTCGTCCTGACCCACGTCCTGTCCCTGACCCACGTCCTCGCCCTGTCCCTGCCCCTCGTCCTCCTGTCCCTCGCCCACGTCACCCTGTCCCTCGCCCTCACCCTGATCCTCACCCTCGTCACCCTGTCCCTCGTCACCCTGATCCTCGCCCTCGTCACCCTGTCCCTCATCCTCGTCCTCCTGTCCCTCGCCCTCATCCTCACCCTGATCATCTTCGCCCTCATCCTCACCCTGTCCCTGATCATCTTCGCCCTCACCATCCTCGTCTTCGCCCTGACTCTCGCCCTCATCCTCGTCCTCCTCGCCCTGATCTTCGCCCTCGTCCTCGCCCTGACTCTCGTCACCCTCATCATCCTCGTCATCCTGACCCTCACTCTGATCCTCATCGCCCTTACCCTCGACACCCTGTTCCTCCTGAAGAGGACCGCGATCTTCAGGATTTTCAGGACTATCAGGGCCAGAAAAATCAGTGTCTTCGTTGTCAGTTTTTGGGAAAGAATGAATAAAGACATTCTTGATCATGGTCTCAGTGTTGCTAATCAACAACCTCAACTCTTGATTCCTAACCTCCAAAATATGATTTTTGTAAAAGCTCTGGAAAGGAGTCAAATCCCTGTTCTCAGCAGAACTCAAGAAACGAGGAAATCTTTCAGGCGTGTGGACATTGCCGTGCTTGTCAATGAAGCCATTAAATAAGCGGACTTTTCGATCGTCATGTGTCAGTGACAGACGGAATGGACGAATAAGTTTGATATTACCATACCGATGCTTGAATGCGAGAGGCAGCTTCACTTTTGATTTCGTACCTTCTTCTCCATTGGTGAGAGTTCTGATTATCACTAAAATAATTAAAAAAAATCAATAAAATTTTTATGCGAGAAAATCTACACTTACTGCTTTCGTAAGCTTCAATGTGTTCCAGCAGCCCTTGTCGCATTTTCTCCACTTGATGCTCTTTGTCGACGCGATGACCATTGTTGTCCACTTCGATGGGCAGACGTTTAATGCGGTGCAAACGCAGCTGTGGCTCTGGCACTATGTATAATAATTAATAAAAATTGCATTTTGATCATTGAAAATTATTACAATCAACTGCCATTTGATCTGGCAACCTCGTGATTATGTTTCCTTCAATCGGTTGTCGGCAGAAATGGCATTTCTCATGGCTCAACATTGGATTTTCCATGCATGATTTGCAAATGAGGTGGCCGCATTTTGCTCGGGAGAGGTAGGCTTCGTTCTCCTTACAGATGGTGCATTGGATCGGGAATGTGACGTCTTTGATGGGAACAGCCACTTGCCAATCTTCTTTTCCGCCCTCGCGGAAAGCTTCAGCGGTGGTGACTTTTTCGCGAAAGACATAATTCATGGTTAATGTCTCGCAATACGGACTGAGGGCTTTGTGTTGTATGATGAACTTCTCTGGATCTAGTTTTGAAATAAAAAAATTATTATATTTATATTTTTGTACATTAAACATACTTATGAATCTAAAAGACAAGCCGCAGCTGGGACAATGCAAGCGGATTTCACGCCCTTGAACGTGTGGAATCATTGCTGAATCAATCATTTTTTGAGTGAGCCGTGGTTCGAGGCCGGCGCTTTCGAGAGCCAATTTATCGATGTCCTTGAAAGTATTTAAACGCGCTGCCGCGTCTCGAGGAGCAATAGCTTCGAGGACATTGAGCTGAAACATGGTTTTCTATAAATTTACTCATCCAGTGTCAGTTTTATGCTACGGCACATCAAATTCAGGTTTGAAGTTGAAATCAAATTTTAAAAATTACTAATTAAATTCAATTTAGGAAAAACATATCTTACATTGAGATTATTGGCAAATATCAATCGTTACATTGACAAGGATATCAGCGAAATAATATATTACTACAATATATATAACCCGACATTTGACGACTTTAAAGAAAAAATAACATTTGTGCAAGGTCTACCCGAAAATTTGCCCAACGATGGGAAAAATCGTTGTATAGTTATCGACGACGGGCATACAGAGTCAATTAATATTGCTCAAAGCATATTTGTGCGCGAAGCTCATCACAAATCAATCAGTGTTTTTTATCTTATGCAATACATGTTTCTGTCGCCGGCACTGAGAGTAATTTCGTTGAATGCAAAAGTCATAATCGCCTTTCAAAATTTTAGAGATAATTTATCGTTCCAAGCGCTTGCGCGTCAGCTGCCCTACAAGACAAGCTACGTGACCAGCATATATAAGGAAGCGAGCAAACGCAAGTTTGGATATCTAGTAATGAATTTTCAAACTACATGTCCCAATGAATTAAGATTTTGCTCAGATTTGCTTGCCGAATACCCGACTTATTACATCCCAATAGAAGATTATTCTGGATCCCCAATAGCCATAAATGAAGAATAATAAAAAAGCTTTACTTTATATCTTGGAAGCGCCTCCCGAGATTAGAAATATCCTATTGAATAATATTGATCGAAAAATAATAAGAGAATTTTGCGAGGTTCTACACAATATAAGGCTTAAAAATATAAAAATTGATCAGTCTCAACTCGACGTGTTAAGAAATCAAACCAAAGCTTGCAGGTGCATTTTGAGAAGAGATCAATCTTGTAAAAAGAAAAAAATTGAAATTTCAAAGCTCGACGAACGCACTTTTGATATAATTAAAAGTGTTTTGAAATGAGCGAACCATTCAAAAAACTTTATTTGGTGGATTTGGACGATTTAAATCTGATAAAGTCGAAAAAGGAACCCAAATTACTCGACTACAATGAAATTTATGACGCCGTTATGGAGAAAAAAAATGGAAAGGAGCAGGAAAAATCGCAGCAGGAAAATATGCAGCAGGAAAATATACAGCAGGAAAAAATCCAACCAAATATGCAGCAGGAAAAAATCCAACCAAATATTCAGCAGGATAAAACCGAACCAAATATACAGCAGGAAAAAACCCCACCAAATATCCAACAAGTAAAAAACCAACAAGAAAATGAAGTAAATGAAAAGATAGATAAACTCCCGGAAGGATGGAAAAATAAAGCCAGATCTTTGTTTTCTGCGATAAAAAAATCTAAAAAATTTAGCTGGAACGTCGAAGGGGTATTTTTTAATAACAATAAAATTGGGGAAGCTTCACTTTTTGATTACATTCTACAAACTGTAAATCCTGCAGATAAGGTGGTAGAGGATTATAAAGGCTTCGCTAGGGCTTTAGAAGAAATTGGCTATATAAGGCCGGCAAAAATTGTAAAGTGGAGCAAATACGATTGGTAAAATGAAGCGCGTGCTGGACAGAAAATACTTCAATTTGCATTCGCCATCGGCTTTTACTAGCAAAACGCATTTGGTAAATTTGTTGAAAAATGATTATCCAAAAGATGATATTATCGAGTGGACTGAATCAATACCCTCAATCACGCGATTTGCGCAGAGAACAAGCAAATTCCCGACAAATCCAGCATATGCTTGGGACGTAAACAGTATTTGGCATTCAGATTTGGCAGACATGCAGGCGTTAAAAAAATTTAACAGAAATTTTGCCTATCTTTGTGTATGCGTAGATACACTGAGCAGAATGAGTTATATTTTTCCAATCAAAACAAAATCGGCAAGTGACGTCACCGAAGGCTTTAAAAAATTATTCAAAAAGCACAAACCATCGTTCGGAATATTTAGTGATCAAGGACGAGAGTACGATAATAAAACATTTAAAAAATTTTTGACTGAAAATAATCTAAAATTATTATTGGCGCGAAACGAGGAGAGAAAAGCTTTTCTGAGTGAAAATAGAATAAAATTAATCAAAAAACGACTTTATCGATACTTTGACCACGCAAAAACGCAAAAATGGATCGATGTGATAGATAAAATTAACGATGGAATCAATAAATCAGTCAACAGAAACTTGGGAATGGCACCGGTAGATGTGTTGAAATCAAAATCGAATCAAAAACAAGTTTTTTTGCGACTATATAAAGAATATTTGTCACGAAAAGTTCCAAAATTTGTCTTTGAGGAATCAGACGAGGTTCGCCTTCCGTTTTACAAAAGCATTCTCTCTAAAAAATACAAGCAGGGTTGGACGGACGAGGGTTTTTTCATTTCAAAAAGAATAGCAAAACCATATCCATTGTACACAGTAGTTGATAAAGACAAAGAGGAAATACTAGGGCGCTTCAATCGACGTGAGTTGAATCGTACACGATGATGCTCATAGCAAAATCCAACGCATTTAATAATATTTACGAAAATAGCATTAAAAAATTTACGCTCGTATTACCCGAAAGTTTGGGGACGAGAGATAAAAAAATTGCTCTAATTGAAGCGTATTTGCCAAAACCCAAGACTCAGGACACTATAAATATAATGTGCTCTGTCGTCAGCAGCACATTATTCGGTCAGGAGCAAAAGAAGGTTCTTCGAAAGGCGATCATTCAAGCAAACGGATTGGTTAAAATATCTAAACCTCTTTATTTGAGTTTTGGACAGGAGGATATTTCTGATATTACGTTTGAACTTTTGAAAGACGATTTTACGCCGTTTGAATTTTTGAAATCTGAGGATAAAAAACAAGGAGAAAGCATTTTAATCCTCCACATACAATGAGTTTGGGGTGCGTATCTAGCGAGTCGTGTATGAGAGGTTTGGGAATCGGCACGGCCCTCGTTCAGCCTGCGCTCACGTTGACAAAAAGCATAATTAAAAAAGTTAAAAAAAGAAATGCAAAAAAGAAAAAGAAAGCTTCAAAAAATTCACAGCAGGGGGCAGGTGTAAAAAAGAGAAGGAAACAGACAAAAAAGAAGATAAAAGGAGCGGGTCGGCGTAAAAGAAGGTTGTTTTAAATAATGTTGAAAGGAAAAGCTGCCGAAGAGGCAGTTATCGTAAAATATAAGCCGACAACATCGCTCTCTGGATCGCCCAAAATTAATTTTGTCATACCGAAACAAAATGATAATTATATTGATTTAGCAGCAACACAGATTGGAGTTAGTTTTAGGGTGGTGGACAAAGATGGAAAACCCTTGGGTCCGCTGGCAAAC